AAAGAGTTAGTGAGAAAAATTCTGCGAAGTCTTACCAAGGAATGGGAGTCGAAGGTTAACTCCATTTACGAAGGCCGAGATTACAACGTCATCACATACGACGGTCTTCGAGGTAACCTTATCACTTACGAAACAAATCATCTTTCTCATACTCTTGACGTTAAGAAGAGAACGGGAATTGCTTTTAAAGCATCTTCTTCTCAAAAAGTAGAGATTGGTGATTCGGATTCGGATTCGGATAGTGATAGTGATAGTGATTCTAGCACTTCCTGTGATATTTTGGTTGAATGTTTTAACGAGTTTTTGAAACATGAGCTAAACAAGAGCAAGAAGAAAAACACCCCAAAATGTCACAAGTGCGGAAAGCTTGGCCATCGAAAATTTGAGTGCCCGAAGCTCAAGAAGATGAGCAAACAAGATGAATTCGCATACTTTTCGTGGAAGTATGATTAACCTTCCAAAGACGATTGCCTCATCGCTCTTGAAGAACAAGATGGGTGGTCGGGTACGTGACGCACCATGGAAGGCGTGCTTGAAAACTACAAATTTGTAGTAGATGCTCCAAGCACTTAGCCAAAGGGCATCAAAGGGGAGTAAATTCTTTTTTTTAAATTAAATGTTATCTTTGAGACTTATATGAATTTTTTTTAATGAATGTAACTTTTTTTATGAATGTATTCTTTTATGAATGTAATATTTTTTTAATGCACTGGTCTCCTTTTGATTAATTTAAATAATAATTTAATAAAATTTTAAATTTAAATTTAGAAGATGTATATTTAAAAATGTAAAAAATGAAGGTATGAAGCCTCTGTTTGAAGCTACGAGGCTTCAAACCCATTTCCATTGAATCTTTGAGGTAAGTTAAAGCTGATGTGGAAGAGAGAGAAATTTTGAAGACACGAGGCTTCACGAGTATTTCCAGTGCTCTAACGGATCATTACCTTTATTATTTCTTTCACCAAACATCGCATATATATATATATATATATATATATATATATATATATATATATATATATACATATATATATATATATATATATATATATATATATATATATATATATCACCCTCATCTTTTCTTCCACACAAAACTTTTCACCCAGAATCAGATTTCTTTTTCTTTCTAGATTTTATAGTAATTTGTCAAAAGAACTCACACCTTATCAAAATCAATCGGAGAAAGAAAACAAGAGAAAAACGAGGCAATGAAAGAAATGGGAGAAATCAGAGGAGAGACAATGGAAGAAGGAGGAGGAGATAAGAAGGCAGAGGTGGTTCTGGTGCGCACGTTGGGTGCGGATGAGCCGAAACACTATGATGAAGATGGCGTATACTGCAGGCGTGTACGATTTCACCAGGTGGCTCTGAGTGAAGGTAAAATTAAGAGCAATTGCTTTCCTTCAATGTTGAATCGTATCGGAGATGGTGCTATGGTGTGCTCGGACAGTGGTCCAGCGGTTTACCTTATAGGTGGTCTGACCCGCAGAGACCAAACATGTGAACCAAGCCCGTTCCGATGTCGTGTACTACAAATGCGGCTGTCGGTTGGATTTGCATAAAGAAGAGGAAGGTAGGGTGTGGGAGCAGATTGATCTTCCTATCAAAAATCGCTTTATTCCCTTTTGCGCATTGCTGTTCGGAAAGCTTTATGAGTTTGGACTTCGCTGCCTCCACACTCCCGAGGTTTTTGATCCCAGTGTCGGATTTTGGGAGTTGTCCCAGTTGCCTCCTGAGCTTGTGGGTTGCCGAGTTTCAGATGGAGGAGTTATCTCCGACCCTCCGAATTCCCGTTTACTTGTGCACCTCTATGAAGGCACCCTGTATGCTTTCTACCCTGGTTCTGGTGAGTGGGAGCTTATTGGGAGTCTGCTTCACTGGAGGTATCCTAATGTGGTTCTTGTGGACAATGTCTTGTACATTCATGACTTCAAGTCCCGGGTTTTCCTCTATGCCTATGATGTTGCGAGGCGCCAACAACTCAAGGTTACTTGGTCCTCAAAGAAGTATGAATACAACAATGGTTATCGTGTTAAAGTGACTAAGTATGAGTTTGATGCTATGTTTTATGTCGGCGGTGTCCATTTTCCGATGGCTACTTGGTCTCCTTGTGATGGAGATGAAGGAACCACCAGTAGTGCTTCTACTATGTTCTTCAAGTTCAAAGTTGATCGCCCCAACAATGGTCTACACATCGTTTGCACTCCTGTTGATATCCAATGCCATGATATTCAGAACACCATCAAAGTTACAGGGTTCCTACTGCTCTAGGAGGCAAGCAATTGATTGTGGGGTGCTTCCCATAAAGGTTATTGAATGGTTGCCATGTCATCTTTGGTTGACAAATAAAATATGCTTTGGTGGTGTATCTTTTGGTGTATTCCATATAGTGTTTGCTTATTTATAGGTTGGGTCCTCGTGGTTGTACCTTTCATTCTTTCAAGTTACTCAAGTCTTCTTTGTCATTTCTTTAGGAGTTAGGACAGTAGCAAAATTTGTTTTTTGCTATGTTTCAAAAAGAAACTTTGAAAAAAAAGCAGAAAAAAGAAACATTTAAAAAAAGAGAGAAAGTTAGTCTTTTTGTTGCCTTTTGGTTTATTGTTTAGGTTAGTTTTTATTAGTGTTAACTTTGTCAGTCTTTTAAGTCTATTTCAAAGTCTAGGTTAGTCCTTAGGCTATTGTGTCTATTTAAATTACAAGTTTTTTTCCCTTCTTGTTTCTTTAGTTTTTGAGTCAGTTTGTGTCCGAACTCATTAGTCTTCTTTTATTATGAATTTTTGTTGAGTATATGTTGGTGTCTTTTTATTAAAATTGAGTCTTTGAGTTCATTTAACTCTAACTTTTTGATTCAACTAAACTAAATTCCTGGCAGCTAACTTAACTCTGGCAAAAAAAATATTTTTTTAAACTTATTGTAGCTGTAGCTACTTTAACTTAGAGTTTAACCTTTTCTTTAGATAGTAACTTTGGGCATTCAAAAAATCAGATTCAATTTCTAGAATTGTACTTGGTAGCATAGGGTCATGCAACTCTCTTTTGGCACAGAATTCTAGAACTGAATGAACCCAAAGTTTAGCCGAGGAAATTGTTGCAATTTAAGGAAGCAATGGACAGAGAACCAGGACATGGAAAGTGACACCAAACATCTGGGAAAGTGCTGCAAAGTGTGTGTTGATCTGGTGACCTCTGTGCCCAAGTTTTCAAATGAGTGATGAAACAACGGGGATAGCTGTTACACTTGCGGGTGCATATGCTCTACAATCAGGTCGTAAATTACACGCCCAGGTATACCAAGTCGAGCAGGATACAAATTGCTGGCAAGATCTTCTTTAAGTTCCCCTTGACTTCTTGTGTCCAGAGAAAACTAAAGAAAAGACTAAGCTATGCATTCCAGGATAAACAACAAAGTTTAACTCGGGAAACTACTGCACTTTAAGGTGCAATGAGCTGAAAACCAGACATTGAGACGAGAATGAGAAACTGATTGGATATCTTTATTTGCTGCCAACGTAGCTGCCACATCATCTCACCAAATTCAGTTGATTGCTTTTGCACTTTTAGATGCCCTATACGTCACAGGTAAGTTCTATCGCCCCTCTATTTTCACTTCCTCTGTACTCTGAACTATCAATATTAGGGAAATCTGAGCTTATTGTTTGATTTGAAACTATTTCAACTAGAACCCCACTGTTTTTTATAACCAATCTCCAATGGGAAGAAGAAAAAGACTGAGAAATTTCAATCCTGTTTTTAATCTAATAAAATAGCAAAAACTCACTGAGCTGGTTTAATAGACTATATGCGTGGGTAATTTTTATCTTATGAAACTAATGTTTTGATCTCAGAAAGAATATACGGAGTATGCAACACTTTTCCTTTTTACAAAGCCCCACACTACAAAATCTGCTTCATTATCTCTCACACCATACTTCAACCCGTGTTTGCAAGCAATTGTTTAAGTGACTTTTATTCTTCTTATCTTAGAGTTAGTCATGAACAAACACAGTGAAACATGACTGAGAATGGAATGTCCAAACTCTATTTACAAATTTGTTTAACTTAGCAGTTTAACCAATATTTTCAAATCCTTTCACTTTGAAATCTGCTTGAACCTGTTTTCTAAGTTTAGACAAAAAGTTTCAAATTTTTTTAAAGAAAAAGGGGGTTGGGGAGTGGTCTGATCTGTTCATAGTTGAGAAATTGATAGATGCCATGCTTATTCTCCCACTATTCATAAATGCATACTTTGTTGGTAAAAGAAAAGAGAGAAGAAAACTCACCAAAAGAAAAAAACAGTTCCAAATAAAAATTAAAATAGAACTGTTCAGAGCATTTAAACCCTGGTGTTGAGCATGCGTAGTAGATTTTTTTGGGACTTCAGGGACTATGTTTTAGGGTCCGTTTGGTATGCGGAATTGGAATTGAATTGGAATTGGAATTCTATGGAATTGAATTGGATGGAATTGAATTCTAATTCAATTCCAAATCCTTTGTTTGGTGTAATTAAAGAATTGATATAGAATTGTATTGTAATTCCAAATCCTTTGTTTGGTAACATAAAATTATATATACAATTGATATGAAATTGTATTATGATCCCAACCACTTTATTTGATAACTCAAAAAATGACATTAATATACATTATGGCTACCATCATTTTTTAAAAATAACCATCTTTAGACATTTATGACCATAAAAAATTGAACAATTATAAATTCAAATAGATTAAATATACCAAACTTAAATTCAAACAAAGTTGACAGCAGAAGTATTAACTTAAGTTCAAACAAAGTTCAAGTTGAAACAACAAATTTAAATTCAAACAAAGTTCAAATTAAATGATAATCTAGGAATTGTATGATAAAAATAAGTGTCAACTTCATTTATCAAGTTGCACTTTCAACCACTTGTATTTCAACTCTGTTGGCATTCCCACAAATGTATTGAATAATATGTGATCATGCATCATCAAATCCACAGCCTTGATCATTTGCATGTCATCGAGTTCAATAGCCTTCAACTCAGCCAAAATTTCTTGGGGATTAATTTTTTTTCTCTGCCAACATTAACTCCTTTTCTGCCAAAAGAAGCTCAGACTTTTTCCTTTCCACCACCAAATAGTCACTGAAATCAGTCGCCATTCGCTGCATACAATCAGATATGATTGTCGTTGATGTTTTCTTCTTAGGTCCTAGAGAACTTGAGGAAGACGTTGTCTCTTTTCTTTTTTTTCAAGCCAACAAATCACTTATAGCATCAACTTCATCACACTTGTCAAGTGAATCCGGGATAGTAGCAGAATCAACCTCAATCTCATCATTGTTTTCTTGAATTGTTCTTGAACCTTGCCCATCCGCACGATCTTGAGAGAAAAGAATACATATATCATCCCAATTGTCTATCACAATTCTTTTCCTGTAAGGTGCAATTTTTGAATTCGCCTTCAAAACAACAATAATCATAGTTAATTTCAGTTTACGTAACTTGTTACAAGAGAGACAAACACAAAGAAAGATAGGCATAAACATCTCCCTTCCTCTAGCATTATCTTCCAGAGGTCTAGACCAGAGGTTTAACCCATTTGGTTTGGCTTAATGATCAAATAACCATTATCTTCCTCTTTACCATTATATTATACACCATTATATCAAGAACATAAAACAATTTCAAAGCACCAATCATAAAAAAAATGCAGTTTGCAGTGAAATCAAAGATTCTAAGAATTGAATTGATGTTTTTCAATCGAACACCAAAATAGGTAACAAAAAAGCTCATTGGTCAAAAAAATATACAGAAACTCAGTCAGCCAAAAACCATCACTAAGCTCCGGTAATGGGCAGGGATCTAAAAACACAAATTTTCAGCTTTAGGCACCTAATATAGGCTATAAGCTTTAGGCACCTAATATAAAGATCTCTGGTTTTTTACCCAATGAAACAAATCAGAATGTAGTTTATATTCCTAAAGCATTTCCCAGCACTTGCTGTATAGATTTATTAAAACAATCATCTCAAATTTGTTTCAAGTTATAAAGGACTCATGATAACATGAGTTCATATTCGGAAGAGATCAAAATTGTGCCATTAAAAAAGCGAAGTGACTGTTCATGAGTAAAGTATTTTGGTCCCTAGTCAGGTGTAAAGTAAGCAAACATGAACATACCTTTAACCGTTCATTCCACACATTTTCATCATGAACCATGATTCTACCTGCTGTGTAATCCCAAGTGATTGGAGAGCCAGAATTGCATGATATCAACAATGGATGTAAGATATCATAGTGTTTCTCCCAGGTTTTCAAACGAGCTTGAATGTTATGCTTATCAACTTTAACGTTTAGCTTCACGTGAAGTGCATTTATAGCAGCTGTCCAAGAGGTAGACTTCCAAGCAAGTTTTCCATCAAGTTTGTTTCCTTGATTCAGTTGTTCTATAAAAGAAGCTCCAAGAACTTTATCCATCTCAGAAATCCGGGTGAAATATTTTGATTTTTCTTTCCCTAGTTGTTAATTACAGTCCATCTATAACAAAGAAGAATAGATTGCACAACTATTATTGCAAAACTCTACTAATAACAACTCATTAATCATCACAAAATACAGAACAAATTAGAAAAATATAATCAAATAGAAGTAATATACAACAACAACAACAACAACAACAACAACCCAGTTAAATCCCACAAGAGTAGGGTCTGGGGAGGGTGTGTGTACGCAGACCTTACCCCTACTCGAAAGTAGAGAGGCTGTTTCCAAAGAGACCCCCGGCTCAACGTTGAAAGTCGCATTGCTTGACTAACTGCTACTTCATTAATTAAAGAAGCACAGACAGTTTAGAGATCCATTTTGATTTATTCCATCACACCCCAAAGCCAAAAAATGGTGAAATTTTGGCTCCATCGGAGATGATGGAAATAATCAAATAGAAGTAATATAAAAGGAGAAATATGGCTTCATAAGCTAAAAATCTGATTTATGCAAGAAGTGATTACAACCAATTTAGTTTCATAAGAATGACCCTAAAATCTACGCCCATTTTGATAATGGAGAAACATAGCTTTGGCTAAACTATCCCTAAATGTAGTCCACTCATTTGTGACTTGAACAGTTGTAATTTGATCGGGGTGTTGAGTCTCTTCCTCATTATGATAATGACCAGACATACTTGGTTGAGTCTCTTCCTCATTATGATAATGACCACACATATTTGGTTGAGTCTCTTCCTCATTACAATCAACGCCATATGTAGTAGCTCTACTTTGAATCTTAGCATCAACTTCATCCAATAATGGATCATTAGGTGCTTCTATTCGAATAAGATTGTGAAGAATAGCACAAGCATTGCTGATCTTCACATGTGTTTGAACATCAAAAAAAGATACTTCTCTAAGAATTTTCCATCGCTTCTTGAATAGTCCAAAAGCTCTTTCAATCACATTCCTAGCAGTTGCATGTCTTAGGTTGTATAACTCCTTTGGATTTTTTGGATTGTTGCCTCTAGTGTACCACTCATTGAGATGATATCGAATACCTCGATAAGGAGCTAGAAATCCAGGTCGTTTGGTATATCCGCATCTACCAGAAAATATTTGTCTAGGAGATAAAAAGTGAAATTTGATTATTACTTTAGACTTCAAAAATTTAACAAAAGAAAACAGATTCCTAACCACAGCATACCCCTGGGAACTATGAACGGATCTTTTCTAGTAAGTGCATCTCGTAATACTCTGCTATCTGCTGCAGATCCTTCCCATCCCGGTAGAATACATGTAACCTCAAGTCACGAGAACACAGAGCTGAGACATTGGTTGTTATCCTACCCTTTCTATTTATGTACTTTCCTTGATCTTTTAATGGAACACTTACTTCAATGTGTGTTCCATCAAGTGCTCCAAGACAATTCTACATCACAAAAGTACTAATTAATAAATTAAATGTTGAGATTGATTCACATAAAAATAAACATACGGAAAATAATACTTACTTCAAACCAATCCCATTTTTCATCCTCGAAGCCTTCCATGGCTGTTTCTCGCTGGACAACATATTGTTTTCCTAATTTCAGTATAGTATTTAATACTATATGGAAGTATCGACTAACAGTCTCTCCAGATCTTATGAAATCAAAACCGACTTTACGGTTTGTTAAATTGAAAGAGATTACATATAAAAACATGGAAACTACTTCTTCAACCATGATATTTTTTGAGTTTTTCAATCCCAACTCTTTTAACTTGGAACATAATACAGAAAAGCAATGCCTAGTCAGCCTGAGTTGATCCTTACAACTCTAGTCACTTCCATAATAAAGCCGCCTAATATATAATTCTCGCGCTAAGCCAAAGTCAAGACTGGTTCTTTCACCAAGCTTTGTTCATTCCATTGACCAACTAATGTAGCAAAATTCATAACGTGAAGAGCAGTAAATATCTTACTGGAAGAACTATCTTCTTCACTTTCTTCATCAGAGTGAGGCACATGGATATCCATGCACTAAAAAGAAAAAAAATATGCTGCATTAAAGAAAACAGGGTACTTGCAAAACCAAAGCAATGTGCATCAAAGCAATAATCAATCAAATGTACATATAGTTAGTCATCTATTCCAGAGATTCAGCAAACAAAGCAATATGCATCAAATTTATAAAACATAGACTTTCCACGCCACAAATTAAATGCATTAAAATCCAAAACCAGACATAAATTAGGGGAAAATATCATCTAAGACACAGAATTAGTTGTACCAACCTTAGTAGTGGAATCCATGTCCTTAATCAATAATTCAAACACACAGAGATTTGGTAGCAAAATCAACCTCAAACACGGAATCTCTATAGGAAAGTAATTCAAAGGCCATTAAAAAACCTAGCTAACAACTACAATCGATTTGATAAAGATTTGACAAATCGAAAAACAAATCTAAAAAAAGAATCGAATTTAAAGATAGAGAGAGAATTACTAGATGTCGCCACCCTCACCCATGGAGAATTGTGAGATGTCTGCGAGGGTCACCCATGGAGATTGAAGATGCTGAGAGATGAGAGAGCCGAGAGAGAAAGCGAGAAAGAGCGCAGGGAGCCAGGGAGTGGGAGTTTAGATATGCGTAAAATTAGATCTAAAATTAAGATCCGACCCGAGAAAGATCCGCGTGTTTTTATTTGACCAGTGGAATTCATTCCAATTCTTTTATCCTGGTATGGAATTTAAAATGTAGAATTGAAAATTTTGGAATTAGAATTGAATTCCAATTCTATAAATTTTTTTGATACCAAACATCAGAATTGGAATTAAAGTCTCCAATTCCAATTCCGTGACTTGAATTCTGCGTACCAAACGGACCCTAAATGAAAAAAATGGGTTGTTTACAATTCAGATTTAAGAAAGAATTTCTAACATAAATTCAGAAAATATTTTTCCAACAATTTTTTTCTGAGCTTGAGTGGAACTGGAGTATTTTATTCATAGGTGCATTGTTATTTCTTAAAAAAAGGCATCTCAGAACTATCAAATAAAGAATCAAGATTCTGCCTTTTTTTTGTCTAAGATCTCTGATCTCACTGTAAAGTAACAAACAATCTAATTAGGCCTAATTTCTTTAAACTGTGAGACTGTTATGCCCAAACACAATCATGTGAGTTCTATGTTCTTAAAACGAATTTAAAAGGAAGTGCATTGTAAAGATGCCTCATTTGATTGCCATAATTTCTAAAAAGAGCAACAAAAAGAATGCCATCAGTACAAAATAGAGTTTCACAGCATGAAAGAAAAAACAGTTCTTGATCAGATATTTGGAAAAAAATGCAGCAAAAAAGGAATCAAATAAAAAATTGTTTAGTAAGGTGTAACAAAAAGAAGTTATTTTCCAAATACCCCTTTATGTGTAGGGTACATTTCCATTTAATCGCGCTTTAAAAGTAAACTTGATCACTTTTTGAGAAATAATGTTGTTAGAGGTTTATGTGTTTATTTGGAAAATGAATTTATGAGTAATACTAGAACTAGTTTTTTTTATTGTTTACTTTGACTTTGTGGTTCGCTATTTGGTTTGTTTTGGAGTTTTGTCTTGAGTGATCACAGGTTGATAAGAGTACAATATGAATTCTCCATATTGTCCCGAGCAAAACAAAGGGTCTAGCCGAAGACACTAAAAGATGGCAGCTTTTTGGGAGGCAACCAGATATTTAAATTTTTATGCATTTTATTTACTTTTTTTCTTTTCTTTTCTTTTCTCGTCTTTACTAGCACTTTTCTTGCCTTGTATGCTTACATGCCATATCTTATAATCTCCTCCCTATCATCTAGCATTTGTTTTATGATTCTTCATGCTTCATGTTTTTAATTGTTTCATCTTGTATGTGCATAAGCTCATCATTTTAATATCATTTACATGCATTGAAGACACTGCATGATTTAAGTGTGAGGCACGCTTTCTGCATTTAGTTATGCATATTTTAGGGGAAAAAATTGTTTGCATGTTTTTATACACTACATGAATTGGGTAGGGAAAAAAATGGACATTTCATGTTAAATATAGCATTTTAGATGCGATTTGGTTATAAAAAATTAAATTTTTTTAAAAGTTTTTAAAGAAAACAATAATCTTTCACATGAAAATCTATAAAAGAAAAAGAGATTTTCAAGAAGAATTAGAAATCATTATAGTTCTTTTAATCTTTTAGCACTACTAAGTGTTTGCATTTTTTGCATTAAATTGAAATTAAATTTGTAACAAATATGTTTGAATTTCTTTAAAAATGAGTTTTCTACTATAGACTTTACAACATTTCTTTTAAGTCAAATCTATTTAGAACCTATTTTTGTTTAATTTCATACCTTTTAATTAGTTAAGTTCAATGTGCACAATTTATTTAGAAATATATGGAGTAGTTTTCAAACTAACACTTTTTGTCCTAAGCTACTATTCAAGTAAAGTTAGTTTTAAGAAATTATTTTTCTTTTTCTCAATTTTGGTTATATACATATTATCAAGATGTTGAAAAGAATTAAACATATATACTGGAACACTATCTTAGGTTGGAATGGATGGCCCGATATCCTTGTCCCCTTAAGCAACGAATCCCAAAAGGAAATGATATTGTGTATGGAGAGAACCTAAGTTGGAAGAGCAAACTCTGTTTTGGGCTACATGAATCTCGTCCATAACCAGTTTTAAAAAAATAAAAATAAAAAAATTGACGCCATTGAGCCAAAAAGAAAAAAATGCAATAAATGGCTAGGTAGGAAAAAAAGAAAAAAAAGAAAAAATGAATAAAAGCTTTAGGCGATGAAGGCTGCTTAGGTTTCCGATCCGCGATAGGCGATGATTGTAATTCAGATCTGATGGGTCAGCAAAGCTCTAATTCCTATTAGCTATGAATCTGGTCAAATTCGATCTGGTCTGCAGCATAGAAGAAAAAAATTTCAAATTTTAACTTATGGTACGTTGTCTAGTAATGGGCACTAGGCTATTTGAGAATGAGTCCTACTAGGTTTTAGAATGAATATTTCTTTATTCGTAAATGAATATTGAACAAATGTGTGAAAATGAGTACTATGTTACTTCAGAATGAGTACCACGTTATTTCAAATGAACCATTATGTTTATACGAGAATGAGTACTACTTTACTTCAGAATGAGTACTACGTGGATATACCTATCTTTAGGTATAGCCGGTTGTACCATATACCTCCTTCTCGGTCATCACGACTCACGAGCAATGAATCCGGTACCAGCTATATCATCAAAAAAAACAACCATGATAAGGGTACACTTTGCACCGACATTTTAACGGTTTACACAGACAGAAAATGTTAGTTTAATTAAAAAAAATTGCACTGACATTTCTTGCTAATGTAAATCATCGTACTAACATCACACTAGTACAAAATATTGATGCATACCTTTAAAATACAAAATGCATGATACAAATTTTGGTGTACTAATAGTTTAATTAAATAAAATCTGGAGAAGCAACAATTTTGACTTTTACATATCGCTCATGTGGTCATGTCCGCAATCGTGCAAATCATTTTTGAAGAGGTTTTAAAAAAAGTAGGGAATAAAATACTCCGTAAAAAAAGCTTAGGTGGAGTACATGTGAATATGTGATGGGTGGGAAAGGAAGGATTGTCCGTCCTCGGGGAAAAAATTCAAAAAATATACCCCTCCGTCCTAAAACTTTCTTCCCAATGATAAAATAAAATATTCTTGTCACCACTTATTTTGTTGAACTTTTGATGTAGTTTTTAAATATGTATATTTTATTTTTTATTTCTATACCAATATTTAAATAAAATAGATTAAAAAAGCTAGAGATTTTTTTTCGTTTTGCACAACGGGAAGAAAGTTTTAGGACGGAGGGAGTAATGGGAAAGTGCGCGTTTAGAAAATCTAGTTTCCAACAAATGTGTTTAGAAAAAACTAGTTAATAAATCTAGTTGTCAAACGAAATTGCGCAGCATTTTTGACATTTTCTGAGACTAAAAAAGCTTTAATAAATGACTTTTCAATTAATTGTTTATACTTCTTTCTCTATTTCAAAAAAATCTTTTCCCCTTGTAATTTATGTTGTCAAATTATATATTTTCTCATTATTTTTATTGATTATTTGAAAAAACATTGCTACCATCTCAGCCACTATTTTATAGTCCTTATGTTAAAAAATAAATGTCGTAGTCTGACTTTTTTAATTAAATTATGATACCCTTTGACCATATAATAAAAATTAAATATTTTCTGTGTTTGTAAAATTAGTTCCTATTTGATTTTTACCAGATTTATATTCGTAATTTGATTTTTCAACTATATGTTAAACATCGAAGTAATAAAGAGAGACAAATCATTTTAAAAACTTATTATATCAATACAAATAGAATGAAATATATAACAATGACTTTATTTAAATATATTAGTCTTTTTTTTATACTAAAACTAGTATTCTGACCCGTGCCATGCACGGGGCCGAAAGAAATTTATGTCGATTCTGAGTTATTTCAATGAAATTTATTTTTCGGAATAAGGAAAATATATTGCTCACACGATTTTTAATACTACAAATGAAAAAATTCAAAGTAAAATAAATAATATTTGAGGAACAGAATGTAGAGTTAACAATGTTTATTTTAATATCAAATTTTATGAAAGACTTCAAGGTATGCAACATTTTGGTATGGTTGCAAGAGTTTCCATTGTCATCTAGAACTAATATTTTTAATCATGTCTTTGTCTTCACTCCTGAAACAACAAAATATAGTTAACCATGTGTGAACACTGACTTGATTAAAAATAATCCCACAAAAGACAATATGAAACTTTGACTTTTGTTGATAGTCATAGCAAAACATGAGATGATTGAGAATTGTCTTCTTTGGAACTTCAAGAATAGCCCTTGATCAGATGATACCAAATTCATTATATATATCTCTCTTTTTATAATAGGATTTTGACCCAAGTATAAGAGTTTCCATAAATTTGGATATAAAAGTGAGCAATTTAACTCATTGCCAGTTAGATATATAAGTAAGAAATTCAAAATAATATTGGGTCCATCCTAGATATAACGAATTCCTTACTAAAAATAAATGAATCCACAATAACATTATTGATTATCCAAAATACATAATTAATGATTGCCATATATAAGTAAAGAGATTCAAAATAATAATAGTATTATCCAACATACATAATATAAGTAAGGTGATGAATAATATACTCGTGATCATAATTTTCAAATTTAGTACTATTTAGGATTGTTTCTTAATAATATTTTTCGTTAATTTTGTCAATCACCATATGTTAAGTAAATAATCTATTCTTGGAAATCATATCATACCATTCATGGCTATGCATGAATCATTTTCTAACGCGACCCTATTAGGATAGTTTCACATTTAACTATTTACTTACCTTTTGTATTTTAGGAAGGACTTTATTACGGTGAGAATTCCTTGGTAAGAATTAATATATGTAGCACTGTACTAAAATTCTATTTAAATTAATTAAAAAATTATATTTCTTTTATTTTTTTAAATAGTATTTATATTTCTTCATATTTATTTTTAAATGTTTTATATTATCATCGTAATTGGAGTTCGTATGGTTGTAATCTGAATACATATATTTACATATAATATTATTGATTATCCAAGATACATAATTAAGGATTGCCATATATAAGTAAAGTGATCGAAAATAATATTAGTATTATCCAAGATACATAATATAAGTAAGGTGATAAATAATGTACTCGTGATCATAATTTACAAATTTAGTATTATTTAGGATTGTTTCTTAATAAGATTTTCCGTAAATTTTGTTATTAACCATATATAAGTAAGATGATCAATAATATATACTCATGGAAGTAAGATAAATAAGTAAGGAATCAAAACTAGTATTGCAATTTCTATTAGTATAGATACTCTATTGATTTCAACCTATATATACACGAATTTCCATTAATAAATCTTTGTTACTTATTAATTTAAGTATGAAATTTATAAATATGGAAGTAAGATAGAGGATTAATATATGTAGCATGGTTCTAAAATTCTATTTAAGTTAAATGAAAATTATTATATTTCTTTTTTATTTTTTAAATAGTATTTATATTTTTTCGTATTTATTTTTAACTGTTTATATTATTCCCATAATAGGAGTTCGTTTTTTTGTAATCTAAAAACATATATATATAATATTATTGATTATCCAAGACACATAATTAAGGATTTCCATATATAAGTAAACGGATCCAAAATAATATTAGTATTATCCAACATACATAATATAAGTAAGGTGATGAGTAATATACTCGTGATCATCATTTTCAAATTTAGTATTGCTTAGGATTGTTTCTTAATAATCTTTTTTGTAGAAAAGAATATTCTAATTTCCATTAATATACGTATTCTATTGATTTTAACTCTTATTATACACGAATTTCCACAATAAACCTTTGTAACTTATTAATTTAGTATGTAATTTTTAAATATGGAAGTAAGATAAAGGATTAATATATGTACCATGATCCTAAAATTCTATTTAAATTAAATGAAAAATATTATATTTATTTTTTAAATAGTATTTATATTTTTTCATATTTATTTTTAATTATTTTATATTATCATCATAATAGGAGTTCGTATTGTTGTAATCTGAGGTAAAGAATTTCGTTGAAGGCCAGTGATTATTGTGTAGAAAATCTGCGGTTAATTGTTTTCAACGGGAGATCTGCTGGTGCATTCTATATAATTTATTTCCGTTGGTTTACTCGGATATTACGTGGCATGCTGACATGTTTAAATTTTGCCACATAGACATGCCAAATGTCGAATTTCTATGCATCCGAGTCTCCTTTATTATATTAAAGGATGATAGTATTTTGGTAAAAACGAAAGAATGGAAGATGAATTATTTTGACAAACAGAGGAAATATATTCTTAAATACATAAATGTTATAAAAATTTGATATCCTCAAACTATAATTTGAAATAAACTCAATTATATTGAATTCCTATTAATTTTACTCCCTCAATTCATAAATTCTATTCCCAGGTTAAATTTTGATTACAAATTATAGAAAAATACATTGAATTATCATACTAATTAATATCAATGAATTCATTTTATAATATTATTTTGAAATATTATATTTTTATAATATATATTTATATATAAATATTATATTTTTATATATAAATAGAGATATTAATGATTAAAATATTGTACTGGAAATTGTGAAAAGTCAAATAAGAAAGAACTAAATGAACAGAGTTTATAACTATAAAAAAATTCTAACAATGAAGAGTCAAGGAGTTTCACAATTTAACAAAAAAATCAAACTATGACATTTATTTGAGACGAAAAAAACAAATCTTTTAATATAATTTTACATATATAATTTTTTCTATGATAAGTTTGAAGTAAATTTAATTAATATCCCCTCCATCCTAAAACTTTCTTCTCAGATACTATTCACATAATCAAATTTTAATCACATTCTTTACCTATTTTTGTTAGTTATTTGATAAAATAATACAGGCATGTCATATACGGAGTATTATTTTGTAGAACTTTTGATATAGTTTTTAAATATATAATTTTAATATTAAATTTTACACCCAGAATTAAATAAATTGAATTGAAAATAAATGTCAAACTTCATAAACAGAACTGAGAAGAAAATTTTAAGAGGACAAGAGTAATAATTTTAATCCAATACAACAAACACAAGGAAGGTAAATATCAAGGCAAATTCAATGATGAAACTTAGGTCTACCATGAACACATATGAGCAAAATAAGTATTTCTTTATTACTTAAAGAATTACTTCCTCCGTCCCGCTATATTCGTCAACTTTTGACTTTTGGAACTGTTCATCTAAACACTTTGACTCATCAAATTCTCTCAATGTGTAAGCCTAAATATAGTCATGTGTGATCTTGTTTGATTTGTCTTAACATATAGATTATTAATATATAATTTCTATAATTTTCTAATATACAAATTACAAGATAAAATGGATTAAACAAGTGTATTAGATGGTGTGTAAAAATGAAAGTGGACAAATACTATGAGACGAATAGAGTATTTATTTTAAAAAAATTATGTAGAAAATCTACAAATTTTATATGTACATAAAGTGCACCAAAGAAGTAAGGCCTAATAGCTTCGGTGCCCCCTGTGGTTTGAAAAATTGGCACCAATACCTCTTTTGTTTTCAAAACTTATTTCTAAAGTCCCTGTGGTTTCAAAACGTTGCACCCACACCCTCTCTGATCATTTTCCGGCCATTTTCCGGCGAAGAGAGGGCATTGGGGCATAATTTCTAAACCATAGGGGACACTCGTGCTCATTTCTTATTTTTCATTTATTATTTGTGTTTTTCCTTCTTTTTTTTCCGTTTCCTAGAATTTTTTTTAATTTCTTTTCAATTTTTTATAATGTTTTAAAATTTTTTAAAATTCTTTGTGTTTGAACTAATAAAAAAAATTAACATACATTACATCTATCTCAAATTAAACATTTTCACTTTTTCTTACATAGAATAATTTTATGGAAAGTTCAAAAAGAAAACCCAAAATAAAAATATGGAAAAACAAAATGAAAAAATCAAAATACGAAAAAAAGAGTCTTCTACAAAAAACAATTTTGGAACACGCCTAGAAATATCCTTAAAATTGAGATGTCCAAAAAGGATAATCATTTTTATTCATCATTTTTAGAAGTTTTAAAAAAATTACCTTTTTTCAGGAAAAACAAAATTGTTAATTTGAGACGTGCCGATGCATTACATGTTAATTTTTTCAAACAAAAATAACTTTAAATTTTAAGAAAATTATAAAAGTAATTGTAAAATAACCTTTATTAATAAATGAAACAAGTAAAGGAAAAAAATGGGGAAAAAAGAGAGAAATAAAAAATCAGCACTGGTACCCCCCATGGTTTAGAAAATATGCACGAATGCCCCTTTTTCGCCCGGGAAAATGATGAGAGGGGGCACGGGTGCAGCGTTTTGAAACTACAAGAACTTTAGAAATAAGTTTTGAAAACAGGAGGGGTGCTGCCTATTTTGCAAACCACGGGGGTACTTGACGCTATTTTGCTAAAGAAGTAATCCAATGTCAAATATGGGATGCACTATTAATAGATGGCATTGAATTTCGAGCACCCCTTTTCAATTTCCACGGACAGAGTAAAGGAGTAAAACACTAAAATGTCTTCTATTTTTGTAAAGTTCAAACCGCCCTATTTATTACGCTGGTAACTTTAGTCCCCAAAAAAAGATTAAAACTTAATTTTGGTGTTTGATTAGAAAGAAAATAAAAAGTAAAATATTAAAAAAAAGAAAGGTAAAAAATACTAGTATGTAAATTTAGGATTCGTTTTGTTAGTGGAAAATATATTTCAAGAAAAATAATTTTTCAAGAAAATGATTTTCAAATAAAATTACTTTTCCTTATATTTTTCATTGTTTGTTTGGTGGAATAGTTTTCTCCAAAAAAGCATTTTTCATTGTTTATATTCAAAATATGACATTTTAGTGGATTGAGTTCAACTAATAATCGATTTGATTTAACTCTGTAATGTGGTTCAATTCAAATATTTTATGCATAGTCTAGTAACTATTACCATATCTTATATTTTATCATGATGTCGGAGCAAGTTTTGGCTCACCTTGTTTGCCCAGAAGTTCGTCTAAACATTCATTCTTAGTGGCTTGCAAGTCTTTAGCCTAGTTGTTCATATGAAAAACAACATGTGACGCATTTAACCCATTTTTTTTGTATTCTCAAATACTTGTATTGGTTTCAAATAAAAGGGAGTTCACTCGTAAGTGATTAACCAGTTAGATTCAAAATGACTTGATCATCCATTAGAGAGAGAGGAAGAATTAGAGTCTCTCACTTCAAAATAAAAGAAAAAAATTAAATTTATAAACTCTTGAATTTTACTGATAATTGATGAAATTTAATAATTTAATTGGTATTTCACTATGGAGAATTTATCTAAATAAGACTAAAATGTAATGACTTTTTTAATATAAGACGTTATATTTTTATTTCTCAATGTAGGACCATTGGTCATTATCCAGTAGTCATTATTCAAGTAAATGTCCACTATCACTGGACATTATTTCTCCCACTAGATATTATTGAGTACTATTTAGAGAATAAAAAATTTAAGATCGGAAAATGACTTATGTTTTAATCGTATTTAGTGCAAATTTCACATTTCACTTCCAAGTAAAGAAATTTCATCAATCTCAAATTTAGTTAGGGTCTGTTTGGTATACGGAATTAATGAAATTAGAATTGAATTGAGAGTTAAAATTTTATAGAACTGATTTGATTGAAATTAGATAATTTGAATTCATATTTGACACTACCAATTCTAAATCAATATAATTTTGTACAATCAAAAATTAGAATTGAAATTTTAGTTTCAAATTCTAATTTTATAATTTGAATTCCCTATAACAACATTTTCAAACAAGGATTAGTCATGTTGACCCGGACTAGAAAAAATTTCCTTTTTTTCCCACTTATTTTCCCTCATAAACCGCCGAAGGCCGAACCCACAAGGTGCGAAAGTTTCACGGAGTACTCCTTTTTTAAAAGCTTTTGCCGGGAGCTCGGGACGAGAGACACCCTACTGCATTACTACTCCGTATTATATGCGGACCATATATTCTCTTCTTCTCTATTTTGTCCAGAACCCACCCGCCGTTTGTTTCTCTTTGATGGGTTCTTTCAAGTGTCAACTCAGCCAGCGCCCATTACTAACGACGGTTTTAATCATCCCCGCGAGTTGACTCAGTACTGCCGTTTTTTTAAACATCAAAACTCAGTTCATGCATTTGCAAAGAGGCCAAATTAAAGATCCTCCGATATATTGTTCTTGCTTTCTTGTTTCAAGATTGTATTTTTTTTGTTTCGTTTTCAAGAATCCTGTTGAACTTGTTCTGGGTGGCTTCTAATTGCTAAGAAGACAGAAAGATTGTTTTTTTTTATTTTGATTTTTTTTGGGCGGTGAGAGGGAAATGTCAGGTGGAGGAGAGAGCTCAAGGAAGATTGACCAGACCCCAACTTGGGCTGTGGCGGTTGTCTGTACGGCTATTATTGTCATCTCTATTGCCTTGGAGAAGATTATCCACAAGCTTGGAACGGTACTTTTTCTGATTTAATTTCTTGTTGGGGACTCTGTGCTGTTTTTTTGGTGTTTAATTGGTTTTTCTTGTTTGTAGTTTCTCGATTTGATTTGCATTCCAAATTTGTTGTCAAAATGTCAAATATGCTTACTGCTTTCCTCGCTCGCTCTCTCTCTCTCTCTCTCTCAAGAAATCAACTTTGAAACTGATGGCTGATTTACTTGGGTCCTTCCCTTTCTGGAAATTATGGGGTGGTGGTGGGACGGATTCATTAGTTTTTTTTAATTAGAGGAATTTTTGGAGAAACCAAACTACATTTTTTAAATAAAAAAAAGTTCTTTAAAAAAAATAAGTGATAGGGATATTTGCATTTTTTTGTTTGTTGATATTTTTTTCAATATCTTAGAGATTCTAGAGAAAGTTGCTGTAATTTTGATTTGCAAAATTTCCTGCTTGTTTCTTCTGTTTGATTTGTGGTGTTACTAGTTGTTGGATGTGCAGCCTCATGGGAAGTGGAGAGTTTTCACTTGGCATCCCACAGTTTTTTTTATATCTAATTTATCTTCCTTATGATCAACCTAATACACATATTAGAGAACTATATCAGCCTTTGCCTTTATTTGTCATTCTAATGATCCTCTTGACACATATTACTTTTGTTCAGTGGCTGGCGGACAGACACAAGAAAGCTTTGTTTGAGGCTTTCGAGAAAGTGAAAGCCGGTAAGCACGATTCTTTATCATATTTCGTGCTCCTACCTACCCGTCTGTAGCCTTGGTTTCTTGAATTGACACCCACTATGTTTTTTTTTTCAGAATTGATGATTCTCGGATTCATCTCGCTGATCCTTGTATTTTGTCAGAACTACATTCCCGGAATATGTATTCCAACACATGTTGCTGACACTATGCTGCCATGTAAAGCCACTGGCAATGAGGCTAAAGAGGAGGAACACCGTCGGAGGCTATTATGGTATGAGCGCCGGGGTTTGTCAGCCAGCGAAGCACGAAAATGCAAGGAGGTATGTGTATATTTGCCACCCTTAACTTTTTTTCTAGCCCAAGACTTTTTATGGGGCTCCTGTTTTGGATCATAAACATAATGAAATTATGTGATTCCATCTCATTGTTTACTTGATCTGGGTATTTCTAACAGGGATATGTTGCTCTCATATCTGTTGAAGGGCTGCACCAAATACACATCCTTGTTTTCTTTTTGGCAATCCTGCATGTGGTTTATAGTGCCGTTACTATGTTGCTGGGGAGACTAAAGGTATAATCTTTCTTATATTTGATTTGCTTGATTTTTATCATATACTGAGTATGTTTTTGTTCATTCAGTCATTCTTGCTGTAGACGAGTACCATTTTTTTCTTGAAATTTTCAGATCCGTGGATGGAAGCAGTGGGAACAAGAAACTTCGTCTCACAATTACGAATTCTCAAATGGTTTATCGCCGCTTTATGACCTATCCCTCAGCATTCTGATTGCATGGTTTCTTGCTACTAATTGCATTTCATAATGGGAATTGAAATTTGCAGATCCTTCAAGATTCAGACTTACTCATGAGACATCTTTTGTGAGAGCTCACACGAGTTTCTGGACCAGAATTCCAATATTCTTTTACATTGTGAGGCACTTTTTAATATTGGGAAGTTGTGTGTAGTCAGTCATGGTTTTTAGTTAAATTGGCACAGTTCAATCTCTATTTACCAGTTCTGAATTCTGATGGCTTATGAGGCCCAGGTTTAAACTTCGTGTCAAAAGAGTTTTTACCATTTTAAAGGTACACTTTGTCCTACGGAATAGTGTTTTTAATGAAATCAAACTTGATTATCTCTTGCAGGGATGTTTTTTCAGACAATTCTTTAGATCCGTAAGCAAGTCTGACTATTTGACCCTGCGCAACGGCTTCATCAGTGTGAGTCTAACACGACTTCTCTATTTTACTCCTCTTGTTTTCTAGTTTCCCTTTTTCACAACAATCCCTTTCTAAATTGTGATTTATGGTTTGGCTGTGTTGCTTATGTAGGCTCATTTAGCCCCGGGAAGTAAATTTAACTTCCAAAAGTACATTAAGAGGTCATTAGAGGATGACTTCAAGGTAGTTGTGGGAGTCAGGTAATCAATCATAGGTTCAACAATTTGTTGTTTTAATGTTTCTACGGAGTATTTTGTAGCTTCGAAATTTCTTTGAGTTGGTCTTTACTCAACTCGTATGTTTGTCCTTGAATTGCAGTCCTGTGCTTTGGGCATCCTTTGTGATTTTCCTGCTCCTAAATGTGAATGGTATGACAACCCTTGGAATAAAATGCATCTGTCTTGTCCATGTTTTTTGTCCGGTTATGCGTGTCATAAACATTTTATTCCTTTCAGGTTGGAGGGCATTGTTTTGGGCATCTGTTATTCCTTTAATTGTAAGAAATCTAACTTGGTTCACGATGCTACGACTACATTTCGTGCACTTTTTATCTATACATTATAAATGTTGATTGCCCAGATAATTTTAGCGGTCGGGACAAAACTTCAAGCTATTTTGACCAAAATGGCCCTTGAGATCACCGAAAGACATGCAGTAGTTCAAGGAATCCCTCTTGTGCAAGGATCCGACAAATACTTTTGGTTCGGTCGGCCTCAATTAGTTCTACACCTCATTCATTTCGCCTTATTTCAGGTTTGGTTCGAAAGATGAGCACTTTGGAAAACTTCTATTCTTTATGCAATGGTGTTTTCCATTTAACTAACATATGCTTCATCCTGTTAACCTGGCAGAATGCATTCCAAATAACATACTTCTTGTGGATATGGGTAATATTTCTCGTCTGTGGTGCCAAATATTTTTCTTCTATTTCATGCAATAACCGATTCTGATTATGATTTCTTTTTTTGTTTAGTATGAGTATGGAAAGAAAAATTGCTTCCATGAAAGTTTTCAGCTGGTCATTGTGAAAATGGCAATAGGGTATGTATGTATGCCTTCTATATATCCACTGCAGTTTTCTTGAAAAGAGATGAACTCATTCTTGACAGAGAGAGGGGAATCTGTATTTTTCAGGGTGGGAGTTCTGTTCTTGTGCAGCTACATTACGCTGCCACTTTATGGGCTCGTGGCTCAGATGGGTTCGCGCATGAAGAAATCAATCTTTGATGAACAGACGTCAAAGGCGCTGAAGAAGTGGCATCATATGGCCATAAAGAAGAAGAACCCAAGTGGAGGGGGGAAGTCTCCAACCAGAACCTTGGGCGGTGGGACCCCACCACCATCCTCGTCCGCGGTCCGTTCTACCCCTGCACTCCATCGGTACAGATCTCTTGGCATCCCGACCCGATCCTATCCGTTCGACGATGATGACGCTTTTGACCCTGAAAACGATTCATCAACGCCATCCAATGATGCAGTAATGATGCAAGTTGATGATGGTCCCAAGGAAGAAGAACAAGTGGAAGTGAAAGGAGAAGGCACAAAGAGTAGTGGAGGCAGCTTTTCATTCCCAAAGCCAACAACCCCTTAGGAGAAGCTATATTTTCACTAAGTACGCCCAATTGCATACATAATACATACTGGTACAACTTTTTCTTTTGCTGGATTGTTTTAGTTGTGTTTTTTACTCATTGGCTGCATGCTTTACGAGAGAAGTGTCATATAGTGGCAAAGGTGCTAGCTAGGAAGATGTAGATGAACTTTTTGTATACTGTAATTAACTGAGATTTCTTCATAATTCGTAATAAAGAACTTTGTCTTAGGCATTAACAAAATCAAATTGTGCGGTGCATGAGTGCCATTTTTTTATAGTACTATCGACTTTATTAATCTGCAGAGTTATGAGAATGATTTTAATAGTAGAAGTTTAAACTCAAAATCCTCACTTTATCCATCCTGAATAGATGAGGTGATAAAAAGTTGCAAAGCTATGTTTAAAATTGAAATGTTAGGTTTAGAGTGGTTCCCACTTGTGATTGTAAGGGCACTTACAATGAGGTGTCCTTTGGCTCTGTCTCAATTCTTGTCACATTATCATTCTTCTATTTTTTTTGCACAAGGCCAAAACACTTGCAATTAGGGCTGTTCAAATTTAGGTCCGGACCGGTTGAACCAAATGGACCTAATAACTCTATTGAATCTAAAAGACATAAACACTAAAACTCTACTTTTCAAATTTGGTATTACATGTTGATGCTCTATTTTTATAGGTATCTTAATTTACTTAATTAAGAAGATTTTTTATTAACAAATTATTTTAACAATTCAGAAAAAATTATTTCACATTAGTTTTTAGGATTATACATAGAAGCAGTCAATGGCATATGTTTTAAGCTTGTCTAATTTTTTTTTATTTTTTCTATTTGCACGGTACAAATTAAAAACCCTAAAACACAATTAATAGATGAAAATAATTAAAAAAATCTGGTCCAATTGGTCTGAACCGATTCAGTCCTTAGTATTTCTGTCCAGGTCAAAATCCGAATAGATTTAGGTCCGGTCTTTGATTCATGATTGTGTTCAATTTGGTCTTCAGCCAAGTCCGGTCTTGAATCGATGAACAGCCGTACTTGCAATGTTACACCCTCTCGTCTCGCCTCTCCGTTTAATTTACATTATTCATCATTTTTAATTAAAAAACTTAAATAAGTTTATAAAATAAATTCCTTTTAGTGTGCAACATTCCACATGCATTCTCGTTTCTTTCATTTAGTCTTATTCTCATTCATTATATATTTTTTTATTTAATTTATTTAAAGAAAAACATTTTTTGATTAATTTAATTCAATATAATAATTTGCATTAGCTTTTTTAAAATTTCTATTTTAGATTTACCATTAGACCAATCGGTTTGGGTGGCGTAATGGTGACCCGTGATGGCCACATGTCACCACCTCATGCATGATGGCCGTAGTGGTGCCCATCTAGTCATTGCAACAAGTAGCTTAAATTAAAATTTATATATTTTTTCAATCTATTATTTAAATACTCCTCGTCCCTTTAAATTGACACTTTCTACTTTTTTTCATATATAAACTCTTCTCAACTCTCAATTTGCAATTTCTCGAGTGGCAACGACAATTTTAAAAAATTCACAACAAGTTCTGGAAATGGCCGGCCCGACACCCGTCTTAAAGAACGATGTCGAGAACATTGAGAGCGTTCTCAAAATGCAAGCTTCTCGAAAATTGAAAGAGATTTACGTGCACCATGAAAGGTCGACGAATTGGGTGACGAAGGGAGTGTGGACGCCGACGGAGGAGGAGGCGTTGGCCTGAGCGTGGGTGAATGTTTTTGAAGACCCATTTAAAGGTTATTTTTCCCCAAGTAATTTTACTTAGAAATTTTTATCCTTTTTCGTAACAAGTTTTTTTCACCAAATAATTTTACTTGCAAATTTTTATTTCACGATTAGTGATGACCCAAAATGCGGATAATTTTTGGGGTAGGGTCACCACTCAATTCTATACCATTTTGAACGCGTAACCCTACTACGGCATGGACGCCATTATCGTCACTGGAACCCGGCCCCAAGGGTGAACTATCAACTATCTCGTCTACACCATGGCCGCCTTCAACGAAATGCAGTAGGACAAAATTCAACTGAAAAGTAAAGTTGTCGACGCGACACGTCGGCTAGAGCACAAACGTAATGAGCTAAAAGAGCAAGATTTTGATGATTAATGTTGATCATTTACCACCTCTAGAACGCGCATCTATTCTGAAAATGACAAACAAAATTAGATGAAAATGATTTGAAAGTGTAACGAACAACATGAGCGACAACATTTAATCAAGCAATTTTTTTTCAATCCAGTATTTGAATTTTTTTGCCACGCTCCTAATTATTCCTTTTTTTGTAGTATGTGAACATAATTGTTTATTTAAATGAAATACTCCCTCCGTCCCAAATTATAACGCCTGTTTTCCTTTTTCGTCCGTCCCAAAATGATATGCCTGTTTCCTTATTTGGTATGATAAATGTTGTGTACTTCCAAAAATACCCTCCATCTAATTACTCCTACCCAACGACTCATCTCCCTAATTCATTCTCGATCTTATCTTCTGCGTCTCTCCCCTTTCTCTAGCAAACCTCATCGTTCCTCTTTCATCTTCCCTGCGTCTCTCCTCTTTCATCACTTTCCTCTCTCAGATTTGCTCTTTCATCCTTCTCGTCTTCTATCCTTTCATTTTTCTCCTCTGTCCTTTCATCTATTCTTGTTTTTCTGGAATTTGGATCTAGGGTTTTTCTTTTCTGATCTGCGATTCAGATCTAGGGGATACCTGACCCGTTCGAGATCCAAGGTTAGTTTTTTCTCACATTTTTGTATATTAATCTTATTTCAACAATCTAATTAATGTTTTCATTTGTTTTTTTGTGTAGATCGCAGACATGGATGGAACAGATGATGAAATGGATTTCTCATCTGCCCCTAGTACTCCAGATTCATACGAATCAGAGCTCGAATATGTTTTTGACGAGATTCGTATTGAAAAGCAGATGGAAATGGTGAGGAAAAGGCTTGCTGCCTATTACAAGCCCAAAGAGGATGAGCCTAAAGAGGTAAAGAAGAAAGAGGATGAGGACGATGATGACACCCAATCTGAGTCCTACGAATACAAAGAGGGGGATGATGTTCTGTGGGAATATTTTATCTCAGATCCAAAGCGACGCTACAAAGACTTCTAGGGGAGTATTCCTCTATTCTTATGTGGGTGTAATATTTCAATTATGTGTCTCCTTATGTGCTTTAGTCTACTTCCATACACTAACTGGGAAACTAATGATGTTTGCACTGAATTTTGCAATATGACTATATGCCTGAGTGGTGTTTGTAATTTGCTTATGGTGAGTTTTGTGATGTTTCTGTCTGTCTTATGGAACCCTAATCTGTATTCCTAAAGCCACCCACTTCAGATTAGTGTAGGAGGTAACTGTGAGTGGCCTCCCACTATATGTAATGTGTTTGGAGGTTTTAAGAATATGAACAAACATACATTCATCCCAAAAAATGTTTGCTTACAAAATACTGCCCATACACACTTTTGACAAAAAAACCAGTTAAGTGCATATGATGAGCATATTTCAAAACCAAAAAACAAAATGATGAACATAATTACACTGCTTCTGATGCACTCCCTTCCCCTTCCCCATGAGTAGCTAGAACACCCTGTAAAGCACACACACTGGCCTGATACAGTTCTGTGCTTACCTGAAGTTGGTTTGGCAGTGCACCTTCCCTTTCTAGTCTTGCCTTTCCAATGTGTGCCAACTTGTAATTATTTCCTCCTTGTACCTTCATGATCTATGTCATTGCTAACTGGTAACTAATCCAAACATAGTTTAGTTTCTTAGCTTCTAAATTGGCATATGCTTGAGCCACATGTTGAACCAACTCATTCACATTTCTTGTTGATGTCTGATGTTGTAATGACTGAATTGATGCAAAGAACCCCAGGTCTAAAATATTTAGGTCTGGTGAGTTTGGTGGTTGACAAGTTAGCTCAATGCTGTAACCATCAGCATTGGCTGCTTGCACAAACTCTGGGTCATTAACATCAATATGTGGCTTTGCATTATCCTGCTGTATGATGATGTGTTTAGTGATGGCTTCTGGTACCTTCTCCTTTATTGCTGGCAGTACTTGCTGAATCATGAGTGTTCTGTACACCTCTTTTGTGATTCTAGGTATGAGTTTGGTCTCTAAAGTTCCTGCAGCCCTATTCTTACTCCTCCTTTGTGCTGGAACTTGAATATTTAGAGGCCAAATGCCTACTTTCCCATCCCAAATTACTTCCCCTTCAGGACCAAAGATAGGCCTCCCTACTGCACATAAGTGCATCAGTTTGGGAATGTGAGCTTTACTTTTAGCTGTCCTATGGGGCTCTCTCTCCCTTTTTGTTTTATACACTCTCAATGATTGTTTGGACATTTCAAACCATTTTTCATCCACATGAATAGTACAGGAGAAATCTTTAAAAATGGGAGAGTGTGGAAGGGATTCTGGAACAAACTGGTTTAACACGAAAGCTAACCTTTTCAACTTGTTCTCTTCTGTGAGGAAAGGTTTGATAGCATTTGTGTGGCTTTGCAGTTGCCCTTGTTGTATGCACCTATGTAGTGTGGATTTTGGTACTTGTATGGCTGCAGACAGTGAGCGTATGTTTGTTCTTCTGTGGAATGGAACTGTCTCTATCTGTTCCAAATTTAACTGCACTCTTTTTCTACCAACGATGCCAATCCTGTTGTTACTTGCATATAAAACAGACTCATCCATAAGTTGGTTACGACATGTACGCCAAAGTGAACTAACACTTCTACGGCATACATTGAAGTCGTTCATGATTTGTTTAATCGTGCCGTGCTGAAGTTTCCCGTTAGTCGTCTTGTGAAGCAAACAATCTAGGATTACTCTCCTTTCCATATTCGTTAAGTTTCTCCTGGTTTTTTTAAGTGGAGGACTAACTTCTTCTTCTTCTTCTTCTTCTTCTTCTTCTTCTTCTTCTGTAACAGGTGCAGCCCGGGAATTTTGTTGAAGTGGTTGAATGCTTGAAGATGATGCAGGGGCTGTTTGGCTGGAGTTGATGGAGGGCAATGGATTTTCCATTTTTTGGGATTTGGCAATGGATGATCCAGGGAGTTGAAGGAGTGTTGCTTTCCTTTTATAGATCTGGCAGTTTTAGTTTTGGTGTAATGGAGGGAATTTTTCCCTCCAAGACTTTGATTGGATGTGTACTTAGATTTGGTGATGGATTTGGTGAATGTAATGATTTGTTTGGATATTTTATTGTGATGTGCGTGTATGTGTAGCTGGAACTGTTTTTGATTTTTTGGTTTGTTCATTATTTCATTTTTAGCTTCAAATATTTAAAAAATTAAGTTAGGGGCATTTTGGGAAAGTCAACCTTAATTTTCTCCTTCCTTAAATATGGCCTAAAGTCAAAATAGGCACTATATTATGGGACGGAGGGAGTATTTATTTAGTGTTTTTGTTTTAAATAATTTTAAATATTTATTTAGTGTTTTGATTTAAATGATTTTAAAATAATTAGGTGTGATGGGTGTGATCCACACACCCTTGTTCAATGATGAGCTGTGATAGGAAAGAGAAAAGCTAGCGTGAAGCTAAGTGAGATGGCGCAATAGGCGTGATGACGTGATCCACACCTATTAGCCTTACAACCACCCTAATGTATATTCATACTTTTTCAATCTAATGACGCACAACAGAGTGTTTTTCCCCATGTATTCACGATATTTCAAAAAATGTAAATTGTTGTTGCAAAAGAAACACCCTAATGTATATTCATACTTTTTCAATCTAATGACACAAGTGAAAGGTCTCCAGAAGGTAGAAATGAGAGAGTAGAAAGTGAAGGCAAAACATACAAGAAATACAAGGAAGAGGAAATGTCATCACACAACGATGGAAATCCCCCCCAAAAAACAACCTGCTACACATGATTCCCTCCTAGAACCGAAGTAAAAACTCCGAGAACCACTCCTCGAAACCTCTCAAAAACCAGGCAAATTCTCATTTGATCCTTAGATCAAAATACTCATTTTATTGACCTTAATACATATCAACCATCTAAGAGTTGGACTTTTTACAGAAAGAAAAGATCCACCTGTGAGCACATGAAAAGTGTGAGGTCTACTTTCTCATGAGGTCCTGATGCATAACTTCTCAAACAAAGGTCATGTCAACGGTAAGTCGCAGAAGCAACAAGTCACGTGTAATCACCTTACTCCAGTTCTTCTTCGGGAAGAGTGTTACCGTAAATAAGCTAAAGAAGCAATGGTGACAAACAAAAAGAAGGTAAATTTTCCTCGTAACTATGATGATGCGAAACATAAGATGCATTCACAGTGGGAAAGTTCCTATCAATATACCCTATGCACGGCCGCAAAATCAGGTCAATTGCACTTTTGAATCTCAATCAATCAAATAAAACTAAGAATACAAGGAAACATAAAATAAGCAAAGACAGAAGAATTACAGGAATCAAACTGTAACTTGGGAAGCATAAGCACGTGAAGGATTGCACAGAATGAACATGTTAAAACTGTAACTTGTGGTAATTGACATACCAACAAACTCTCGTGTTACTCCGACAGCTATGTTTTCACATATTCAACTCGCCTGTGTTGGTTGGCTGGTGAGCGGAAGAAGAACCTCTTGGCCCAAGATTTGTTCTTCTGCTTCACTGGTTCAATCTTTATATCTCTCTTTGCATAGAGATCAGCCATGTATTGGACAGCAGCCTGAAACAAAACAATGCAACATCAAATGTTAGAGACAGTCATAGTGAGGCTGAACTGTGCTTCGACGGTTCTCTTCACCTAAAAAATGTGATCTGATTTTTTTTACTTTTTAAGATCTAGTGATTTTAGTCTGGTAATGGTTTTTGAATTTTAATTTCTCGCCTAAACTATAAGATACAAAGTTTTTAGATTGGGTGTGATATCAATCGTTCTTTCTCATCTGGTGTTACAGTAATGTTTATGGTTGATCAACATAAGAATTACAAAGTAATAAGCAAAAACAAGTGGAAAGAACAATGAGTAAGGTGTGGGATGATGTCACCATACAGAAACTGTGAAACGATACGATTAGTAACAGAAGCTACCTGTGCTCCCTTCCCAACAACATCTACAGGTGGGACTTCCAGAGGGTTTCCTTCAGCTTTTAGAACACTCAACTTGGACAACATTCTAAATGAGTCTGGGAGAGCTCTGATCTGATTGTTACTGATATCCAATTCCTCAAGCATCTCAAGATTACCAATGGATCTCGGAAGAGATCGGAGGTCTGCAAAATTGTTGCTAATGTTCATCTTTAGCAGTGTGATAACAAAGCACAAGGTCTCAGGCACATACTCAAGCTCGTTGAAACTGACATTGAGCTCTTTCAAACTCTCCATTGATGACATAGTGGTGGGAAGCTGTCTCACATTATTGTAGCGCAAGGATAGGACCTCCAGTGTTCGAATGCGTCCCACGGCTTCAGGTAGGGCTTTAAGCCGGTTATAGTCTGCACGTAGCTCAACAAGTGAAGAGCATTGACCAATGGTGTGAGGAATTTCCTCGAGATCATTCGTTTCCACGATCAATCTTTGGAGACAAGATAAAGATCCAATGGCCTCTGGGAGTGCAGAGATCATGTTGGAACTCAAATCAAGTTCATGAAGGTGGACTAAACTACCAATGGAAACAGGCAGTGATTTCAAACTATTTCCTGCAAGGTCAAGAGAGACCAATTCCTGGAGATTTCCAAGAGAATCCGGCAGTTCCACAATTCTATTTCCGCACAAATTTAGCCTTTGTAAAGAACCAAGGCTCCCTATAGCAGTTGGTATAGAAGTTAACCGATTTTCAGACAAATCCAATGTGATCAAACTTGACAGCTTCCCGATAGAATCAGGAAGCCATTCGACTTGGTCGGACAATTTGCTATGAAGATTGAGATCCGAGGCTCCCTTCTTTGCTGACAATTCAATCAAACTCGCAAGCTTTATCAAGCTTAGTTTTTCACCATCCCGGCCTGTTACGATTAGAGAGAAACAATCAATCATAATTCATAGAGAATGTGTGGCAAAGGATACCCATGTCAAAACAAAATTTTTAGCTTATATTATACTTTCATCAAATTTTAGCCATTAATCTTCACTAGATAACCATATAAGGAACTCATTCACATATCAAATAGAGAACTTGATGCAGGGCAATTCAGACTTACTTGGACTAATAGAAGGCCTCAAAGAAGAATCAACAATCTTGGGTTCTGAGGGGGTGTCTACATATAAAAGACCAACCCCAATTCCATCTGCACGGATGGAAGCTTTTCCCTTGGTCAAATAAGTGTCGTCTTTACTAAACGACTGAGAAGCTTTCACAGGCCCTCTCTCATTGTAAAAAGTTGAAGTTTTCAAGGTAGCTGTGGCACTTGTAGCTAAGGTGCTGACACTGCTGCTGGAGACGGATGATGAGTTTGTTAAAGACACTCTGTTGGAATCCAAAGAAGACCTTGATGAAGCCTGAGAAGAACCAGAAGGTAAACATTTGGAAGCCCTCTGAACCAAATCGTCAAACAGATTGTGGGTATTCTCCAGGTCCAACAATTTCAACGCCTCACTCTTCTGCTCTTTGCTCTGAAAGTGAACCATACACCTCTGCATCTCCTGCAACAACATAAACAGCTCTTCAGGGACACCACTACTTCTCCTCTGCCTCACAATCGCCTCAATCCTCATCTGATCCTCCCTCTCCAAATTCACAATCAATGTCCTCGCTGCCTCAACCTCTTCGATCCCCGGTCGAGGTGGGAGAGATCGATGAAGCTTCATGATCTCTTCCACGACCTCCTCAATCCCTATCGCCCTTGAGCCCATTTCCCAGAATCAGCTAAAACACCCACAAGCTACACAAAATCAAGAAATTTCGAAACCAATCATTCAAATTCAACCACAATCCAAAAAGAACAGTGCCACGCTCCGACCTTTCAAAAAAGCCCCAAACGTAGAAAATTCTTGAAAATGAGAACACGCAACTGAACTCTCTTCCGTCGAGGTTCTAGAACATCCATCGCCAGGTATTTAACTAGAGACGCTGGACAAAAACAAAGCAATTCTCCGCGGAAAAGGTGATTCAGAAGAGCAAAACACAAAACCCAGCTTCTGTTTCGGAGATTAAATCAGATTTGTTAAAGGATTGCAGCAAAGAGATGCCTTTATCGTGGGCGGAAGGAAATCCCGAGGGTATGAAGCATTTATGCTAAAGGGTCTTGATATATGGGGTTTTCGAGGGCTTTAAGAAGATAAAACACAAAAAAGAACAAGATTTTGAGGAGTGGAAAGATGGAAGCTTAGACGATAATCCGTAAAGATGATGGTGACCGATCGATCGGGTTATCGGAAGGATCCACTCTGCGTTTCGTTGCCTTCCTCCCTAAGAGTGAGATTTCCAGAATACCCTCCCCTGGAAATAAAAATCACGGAATTGCCGCAGCTTTTCTAGGATGTTCGTTCGGACAACAAATTTTCGGCAATCAGTGTCCTTTAGTTTCTTCAAAATTCCAACTTATTTCCTCTTCCGTATGTTAAAAAAACCCCTCTTTTCTTTGGAAAATTTTCAATGTCTCCAAACTTTTTTTTTCTACATCATTTTTAATTACATATTTTCACTTTTTTAAAATTTTGTGTCAAGTCAAATGAAAAACTTTTTTTAAGATAGAGAAAGTACAATTGATGAATTTTCTCTAATCATTAGAAAGGGGAAGGCGGGAAGCAAGTATAAAAAACTTTGCATAGTATAAGCAAGATCTAAACCTAAGGTCAAGATATCATCTTAATTGACTATATCACATTTAATTAATAATGGGAAGAATTGTATTTTTACCAATACTTAATTCGTAATTACCTATATCAATGTTAATTAACTACATAAATTTAGAACAATTTCATGATAATCATTCAAACATTAACTAAACATTCAAAGTATGTACCCAAACTAGTCTGAACCTATGTTCCTGACCCTAGTTCATACTATGCAAAATAATTAAAATAACATTATTTTAAAAACTAAAGACTTACAGACTCCGAACAAGCGGGATAGAACTGAAGTTGAAATCTCCAAAAACAATTCTAAACTGTCTAGCTACTATTACTAAACTATAATCTAAACTGAGAAAGAAATGAGAGAAGAGGCTCCAAGGCCTTGAATGGGATGGATAGAATGGGGAGATCCGTGCTGCTTTGATAGGCGTGGAGTTGGGTCATCCAAGTCTGGGCGTCAAACTTTGGATGCCCTAACTTTGGGTCAAACAAGAATTTGCTACGTGTCAGCCATGTACTTAGCCGCAAGAATGTCTAGGAGTCCAAGTTAGAGCGTCCGCAAGATGGACGAGAGCCCTTATTGTCTGATACCCTATGACTTTTGAGCCCTTCGTGTAGTCTTTTTTCTTTTTTACTTTTCAGTTCTCTCGTAGTCAATGGAGCCTTCTTATATTTCATTGCTTCTTCTTGGAGTTCTTGCTGTTCCTCGTCGTTCTCTTCGAGAACCAAATACTTAGCCCTTACTAGCATCTCTTGATAGGTGGGAAGTGGATTCCTCCTCAGCTCCTTCCGTACATCCCCTTGGGGAGTGCTGCTTGGAGCATGACGATCAGGTTTTGGTCGTCCACTCTTTGGTCATCTCTTGCCTTCTTCTCCCAACGGGATATAAAGTCTCAGAGACACTCCCCTTTTCGTATCTTAACATTCAACAGATAGGAATACGGAAGCTTTTGGTGGTAACTTGCCACAAAAATTCCCAAGAACTTGTTTGGAAGGTCCTTCCACCTAGGGTTGTAAAACGAACGAATAATTTTGATTCGATTCGTGATTCGTATTCGAATTCAATTATTCGTATTTGAAAAATGAATACGAATACGAATATAAATATTTATTAGAATTCGAAAGAAAACGAATACGAATATGAATGTATATGTATTCGATTCGATATGCTAATGAATATATTCGAATTTATATATAAAAATTTATATCTAACATATGTTTGCCTCATAATACAAAGTCTCCGTAGGGGCAAGATTTGCCTACACACATCCTCTCCAGTCCCTACTCTCGTTGGATCTAACTAGGTTGTTGTTGTTATAGACATGCCATTTTAGTAGCCTATTAATTTTGAGAAAAAGACTAAAGTAAAAGTAAATATTGAAAATAAACGAAAATAGGAGTTATATATTTTTATTCTCAAAATAGGAGTTAAAATGCATTTACAGTGTTATTCATGACCATGTACATTACTAAAAAGTATTGTGAATTGTTCATATGCAGTGTCCCATTACCACAGTGCAAACTCCAAGAGATATATATATATATATATATATATATATATATATATATATATATATATCATGCTCATATAAATGGACCTAAAAAAATTATTAATAATGATAAAAACTTGTGATTTAGTTTTGCGAAGAGAAGTGAAAGGTTTTAATCATACCATTCTTTTCTTAAAGAATAAAATCGTTATTGGTGTTGGAGGTTTTTGCCTTAAATGATATAATTACCAATGGGGCAATGGCACAGTTAGTGAGGTATTAACCGAGGCGCATCTATTGCTGGTTGAAAACTACCAATGGGATCCATTAATAGTTTTAACTATTAATTGATGGGGATGTGTTTTGTTAATTGAGACGGACATTTTGATGTACGACGTATTATATTATATGTCAAAGATAGATAAATGTTGATTTTTAAAGTTGACGCGTTAATAGAGGAGTATGGTGGAATGTGTGTCCTACCTTTTGAACAAATCTTCTACAAGGTATTATTTTTACGTAATATTTCACATTAGTCCACTATTACAGAATTACCTAGTCATTAGTCTCCCCACTCTCATAATTTGATATCGAAACAGAATAAGGAGTACTTCCTACTCCCTCTGTCCCCATGTATTTGTCAACATTTGACTTTTGAAACTGTTCATCTAAGCACTTTGACTCATCAAATTCTCTCAATGTGTAAGCCTAAATATAGTCATGTGTGATCTTGTTTGATTTGTCTTAACATATAGATTATTAATATATAATTTTTATAATTTTTTAATATATAAATTACAAGATAAAATGGATTAAAGAAGTGCATTGGATAGTGTGCAAAAATGAAAGTGGACAAATATAGTAAGACGGAGGGAGTACGTTTGAGGATTTTTGAAAAAATGAGTGCCTTACCAATGGGATCCCCATGAATGAGGTATTAGGCCCACGACCAATATGTAAATTCATAAGATTATAATACAAAACGGAAGGATTATTTAGAAATGATGAGAGTGATTATAATTCATGTTATTTTATAATAAATCATTATTAAATGTGGATATATATGATACCTGCTTAATCTCCGACGCATACGAATGCAAATACTAGTTCTAACCATGCATCAAGATTCGTGCCCGCATCAAATCTTCAATAAAATTAAATGTATGCAAATTTCAAAATGCACATCCAATCTTAATACTCTGTATACTTTTTATTACTTAATTCAACATCAGTTTTCAAATAAATCAAATTCAAAATAATTTCAATCAGACATTGCAAACAACTTAATTGGAACTAAAGGACTACGAGAATATTTGTGTGATCCAAAGTCATCCTTTATCCATGCTTGACAATTTAGTTTTGGTGGAAGTGGTTCGCCTATCAAAAGGCTAGAAATGAACTTTGAGATGAATAAGTTTATGTGCATTTCCCTGATGTGAACATCCAAATATTTAAGGCACCAAATTTATACAGTTAAAAGAAAAAAATGACACTGACCCTAGCATGAGAGCACATGGTTTGAATACATATGGATGATGAACTCACACTAGACATGCAAATGAACCGGTCCAAAACCAAGACGGTTCAAGAATCATAGGTTGATTCCCTCACACACGGCTACCGGAAACCACATTCCGGCAACCAGAAATACACTGCCGGTGACTTTTTGAAGCACCGGCAGAAGATGAATGTATGTCAATTATACAGGTATCAAAGGGCGCGTCCTGCCATGTACCAGCAAAGGGGGGCGGTATTTTACAGTGTTCATTACTTATCATTTGGTGGCCATTGACTTAGGAAAACCTGCATGAGGAATTCATGTTATTTATGACATTGGGATTTGGAAGAACATTAGGAAACAAGGGAAAAAAGGTTGTTTCTGTTACCCTAGATGGATTATTGCATTTACAATTTAAAATTTATACAGAAAGTGAGAAGCAAGGTTTAATGCGCCACTTTAATTTAGAGCTTGTTCTCTTCTAACTTATTCGTATTACTTATTCTTATTAAATTCAGAGCAGAAATAGCTTTAAATATAACTAAAATCATATCAATTCAGACCAGATCAGTTTTTATTTCAATCAGATGAGGTGAAGAGAACAAGCCCTTAGTCCATTATTTACCCCGAGTTAAAACATTGTCAAATGGCTCTTTTAGTTCCATGGGCAAGAAAAAGGAGTACCTTTGCTTGCATTTTAATTGACCTCCAAAGGTCAAATTCGAAAGCCGGGAAGTACCATCAATAATTTTTGCAGCTCGAGATTACTGCAACCATAATTTAACAAGCAATAAGGATTAGTGGAAAATCATCAAACAAATGGAACTAACAAAAAGGAACTCACGTGTTGAGGAAGACCCATATACGAAATAATCTTTTTCCAATGTTAATCAGGATGTTTGATCAGAGCTGCTACCGTGTGGGAACTGCAGCGAATGTGAGCGAACTGCGACCTGCGATTGACCCATAGAAGGCATTGCAATACCTGGACAAGCCAGCCATTATGTCATTCCTTGAAATCAGATTACAAACGGCCCACATGGAAATCAGTTTTCTATCTCTTCAGCTTATTCTTATTACTTATTCTTATTGGAATCAGATCAGAAACAGTTTAAAATATAACTAATCAGATCAGACCAATACTTATTCCAATCAAATTGGAACCAATCAGTTCACATGAAGAGAACAAGCCATTAGCTTCACTACATCATTGAGATAAATAAGAGATGAAGCAGGAAGTACTGCCTGAATGATATGGTCTTTGCATTATGGGAGTGTTGTCTGTGACTGCTCCACCAACATTAGGTCTGTGATGATACTGAGCCATATGAGGACCGGGCATGAAATAGCCTTGCATCATTGTATACCCAGGGCTGCCAGGTTGGGGGCTCAGGTGGCCATATGGCATTGAATTTGTGCCTACTAATCCATACACCTGGAGAAAAATTCTTTATTTCAATAGCATGTATAAACCAATGCAATCAGAAAAAGAAAAAAAGAACTCCATTTATTGTTTAAACTAAAGGGCCCGTCAAGGAATGTAAACTCACCTACTTGATTATTTCTATGGGGATAAGAGTATTTAAAGTCCAACTTCATGTCAGGGAGTGTTTGGTTTAAGGGGAGTGGAACGGAGGTGGAAAAAAAAGAATGTAGAGGGGAGGGAAATAAATTTTTTTATTGTGGTTTTAAAGTTACCTTATTTGGTTAGAGGGGAGGGGATGGAAAATGTTGGCCCCACTTTCCTCGGTTGTTTTTAAAAACCACGAATGAGGGGAGGGAAGAATTTCCATCCCCTCAAACCAAACACAGCCATAAAATATCCACTGCGTGCTGAGGCATCTCAGCAATTTCAAGATATTTTGCGCATGCTGAACTATTTTAAAAACTTTTTCAATACTGTAGAAACGCGAGTTCTTAATAAATTCCCCTAACACCTTGAGTTGCGGAATGTAAACACACTTGCCTGACGGTATGCATATTCAGGGGCATAAGCAGGGTACCTGTCAAACATTAACTAAAGCATAAAACAATTGCTTACATACAACTACCATTTCCCCTTATGATGTACATTAGCAGCATTCACATATTTATTAGCAAAATAATGTTCGCAAAAAGTGACTTCTTTACTATTTGTGTTTAGGCAATCGACAAATGAGCTCACATTTGGGTAAGATGTTTTAGACCGGTAGCCTCTCGACAACTGAACTGCTATTCCACATTATCCAAAAAAAGACACTTTAATAGGATCATGTATCGTAGGACCATGATTTTTAGTTTTTGTTTTAATTCATTTAAAATGGAAATGCTCTAAATTAGATGTGCTGAAGATGAAAATACCAATTCAAAGATCTCGAGATGTCTGCCACACTTTGGCACAATGGGGAATAAATATGTAATCAGAAGATCTACATAGATGTTAAACTGGAACACTTTGTGTGCCCTAGACAAACCAATAATGGGCAAAAAATTGCACTTTCAGACCCTCTGATAGGGCGGGTAAAAAACTAACCTGTAAGGAGGATATGGCATTCCAGGTTGAAAGCCGTACGTAACTGGTAGCTGGTAAATTGGGCTTCCCACATACACACCTCTCAAAGCTTGGGGCCCCATATAGGGCATTGTTGATCTATGAGAACCACCTGTTCATAAGCAAAGCAAGGATAGCAAACAATGTTTATCTATTACCTAGAAAATGTACATTCAACAAACAAACAAACAAACAAACAAGAAACGCGGTATAAATAAAAAGATCACATACCATGAGGAAAGGTTTGAGGGCTTCCAAGTGAAGCTAGATTGCAATTTGCCCTTCTACCATCAATGACTGGATTTGGGTTGGCACAAGCCCTACGAGCAGCTTCCGGATCACGGAATGTCACCTAACCTCCGCAAAGATTGTATTCAGTAAATACCAATTACAATGTAGACACTAGACTCTGTCTTGCTAAATCCAAAAATAAGCAAGAAGATTGTTGTGCATGATGATACAAAAAACAAAAACCTACATAATATGATCATACAAAAAAACATCACCTACAAGGAAAAAGCAGATGGCACAGGGTGGGCCGCCAGAAGTGGAGCAGCTCAAAATGTTAATGGGCATTTCAAACAACCCACTAAGTGGCTGAGAGGGTGGTTACATAGCAGTTACCCAACTCCGCTCGGAGTGGGATTTATTACTTGAGACATGTTATTTTCTTGTGTAATTACTTTTCATTGTATTTTCCTCTGAGAATCTGGAGACTATCCCTTCTCGAATTTGGACTTGATGTACACTTTTTCATTCTAAATTGAATCAATTGGACTCAAGCTTTATCAAAATCCCATACATGAGTTTCCAAAAAACATTTTGGTACAAATGATACAATTCATTAAGGCTGTAATTGGTACAAACAAAAATAATTTTCAAGGAAAATGAATTCCAATGGAATAACAAAAAAATAAATTTTGCATAGCATTTTATATTGTGTGTTACACCTCCAAAAGATGGCCTTTTGAGCAAACCATATTCTCAAATATCTATAAATGCTAAAACTTGACATTACATAATAATAGTGCAAAGATATCTCTCCTAGGAATAAACAAAACTGATTTCTCAAATCCTGAAAGAATGAAAGATTTTCCTGATATGAGCTTTCCATACAATTGCCTACCAAACACAGGAAAATGATTTTTCTCAAAAAACATGTGCCAGACGCTCCTACAAAACAAATACTTAATGAATATCTTACGAATAACTCCCTCCTTGAGTTTAATGATGGTAAAATAACCAACACCTCCTTGAATTATTAGCCAGTCCATTATTGATATAAACGAATGCTAAAATGCGCTTAGGGTTTTTAAAAATAATTCTCAATAACGAAAATTGAACATAGTTATCACAAAAATTTACTAAGGTAAGCATACAATTATTATTTCCATATGCTACAAAAAGCAGTAGGAAATACGGCCATACGGGAGGGTAAGGGAACTGTTGTGCAGCATTTAGGACATTAAAGAGGAGGTGAAATATTACTTCCACATTAAAGTTATTTCAGTGGTATTTTAAAATTCTTCAATCGGATAAGACATATGCTAACTGGAACGAGTATGTCAAGTTATGTGGGTGAATCATACCATACAACCTCCATATTTATACAGGAAATCCGAAACAATATGACTGTCAGAGTGAAGCAACACAATGATTCGGGGAGTATTAGAATACTAGGTCGCAGTATTCGAATGCAAGACGTTAAGTATTTGAATTCTCATAGGAGTATTCAAACATTGAGGTGTCCTTCCATGAAGAGTTGGTTGGCAGTTACTTCAAGTATTTGAATACTCCCTCCGTCCCCAAAAAGATGTGTTCCTTACTATTTGAGGTTGTCCATAACTTTGGTTTGTATATACATTTTCATTGATCACTTGATAAAATAAAATAGACATGTCAGTTTTGATGTAGTTTTTAAACATGTAAGTAGTATTTTTTTATTTTATACCAATTTTTAAATAAAATCAATATAAAATAGATGGAATTTCGCAAGTTGTTTGAAAGAGGACAAATAATTTGGGATGGAAGGAGTACTAAATTTGGTTTTCGAATACTAAATGTTTCCGTGCACCTTTTGGAAGTTGGGTGGCAAATGTGTACTCCACACCTCCATACTCGTATCCAGTTCATCAAAATTCTCATCTGGTCTTAACTAAAGCTAATTAATAACCAAAATAACCAAACACCTTTGTCCCTAAATATTTGAGTGGTTTTGAGTTTTTACAGTCAACTGAAAACTTTGACTTAAAATTAAATAAAATTACATGGTATACTACTTAGATTAAATAATATTTTGAAAACATTTTACTAGATAATAATAAAATTATTCACGTTTGAAGTAAATTAAAAAGCTCAAAATTGGACAAATAATCAGTCATACAGATGAAGTAATACCCAGCAATTGGCACTTAATAGAGCAAAAGGTGAACAAAAAGAAGTATAGAAGAAGAAGACTTACGAAGCCATATCCTTTGGAGCGTCCGGTGTGCTTATCAGCGATTACGACGCCTTCTAATATGTCACCGAACTGCTCAAAGTAGCGCCTCAGCGATTCGCTCTGCGTCTCCCACGCCAGCCCACCCACGAATACTTTGGTGTACGTCGTGTCGCCAAACGGGCCCGGCCCATGACCTACCGCCGGCTGACCCGACCCGTCACCCGCCGGAGCTGGGCCTGATTGCTGAGCCATCGAGGCCAGATGAACAACTAGAGAAGAAAGTAAAACCCTTGAAATAGTGCTATGGAATCGGAGACAGGGGCGGACAGCGATGGAAGCGTGGGGAAAGGGGGTGGCGGCGGCTGCGGCGTGTGGGGCCGACGGACACAGCGTTAGGTGCCAACAAAGCCACGATTCCCCACGAACCCTTTTCTTTTGCGAGCATTATTATCACAAATAATAATGGGATATGCTAGGGTACCCCAAATGTACACCACCCTCCTTTTTACCATTCATTTTATTTTGCTTTTTTTTTCTACTTTTTTTTGAATTTTTCTTGTCTTTTTTGTGTAGTGATGGAGGGCGTGGGGATGTTTGGGGTACACTTTTGGTATACCCCTAGCATTTTCCAATAATAATTGATGAATATCGGATGATGATGGGTACCGTATAGTACAAAAAATCTCAGCGGCTCTAGCGGAACCTACCATCAAACGGTCGCATCTCTCGTTCCGCAGCCTAATGGCGGTATCTGGGTACCGTTATCACAGTAGCGGGTACTGTTCACTACAAGTGAAAAAAAACCACAGTACGGTCACTTGGCTGCCGCCGGTACCTAAGTACCGTTGACACGGTAGTCAGGTACCGTATGGCCTGAGACATTTTCCAAAACTTGTTTTTTTGTTTTTGTTTTTCAAAATAGCCCCAACTAAGAATACGGTTGACACTAGAAATAACATTTTTAGTGAAATGGAATAAGTATATCATTCAATGTATATCACTACCTTTACACAAATGTTTCTAAACCCGTAAGAGTACATTTCGGTGATGCTAATCAAGTTAGAGAGGTTTGGCGTTTGATTTCTTCCTGCAAATAACGTTAGTAACATTCAGAGGACTTATTTGGCACATCAAAATAGTTACGGGATACGGCATTCAAGGCCAACATCCATCTTAAGAATTTTCGAATCCACTAAGTCTCAGTCTCTTGAATGATGGAACACGTGTTTACGCCTAGGTCGCACTAAAGCTGTGTTCGTTTTATGACAAGTTTTGATAATGCCAAACCGCCGCGAATATGAGAAGACGTTGATCAAACTCAAGGCAAAGAAATATGGCGTACTAATTATTGAGTAACTCCCTTTTCTTTTTCGACATATCTGAGCAGCACATAATCCATGCTATAAATCTCATGGAGAGTTAGATGACGGCTGGATGTCTTCAAAGGGTGGATACCTTCTCCAAATATAGATCTCCGGAAAGGTTGAAGCGACAGAAGAAAAGGGCGGGCGGGTTTAGGCGGCATAGGGAATGGCCGGCGAGGTTGAAGCGATGAAGGGAATTTGCAGAAGGTTTGGGCGGCGGAGGGAATGGGTCCGCGTGGCCATGGGCAGTGGAGGGGTTGGATAGTTGAGGTTGGGGCGGCGGAGGATATTGATGGGCGAAGGGCAAGCGACACTAGAACTCTTTTTACTTTTTTTACTTCAAGGGTAGATATGTCATTTTGCTCTCCACTTTGGTTTTCATGCCAAAACCAAAGTGGACAAAAACAGGGGGACGGAGGGAGTAAGTTATACACTTCACACTTTCTCAAAGTGTACCACACAATAATTTTGAAAATATTTAAAAAGTATTCTAAATTACAATGAATAACGGCCAACCTCGATCAAGTGAATTAGTTGGATCGCTGAACTGCGAATCTCGATAAAATGAAGACTCCATGCAGTTACTTTGACTTGAGTATCACGTAGATCAGGGTCGCCTTAAGAATTCCATGACCTAGACCGAGACAGAGAAAAGGTCCTAAAAGCTTTATTCCTAATGCGTTCACAAATTAAAGCGTGCAAACTATTTATATTTAAATGATAATTAACGTAATAGTTTTATAAGAAAATGAGTAAATGACAAAATAATGGTAAATAGTTTATACTCCGTATATACTTACCTCCCCAAACCAATATTTTAAAAACTAGACCAGATGTCAACCCGGACGAGCTAGTGGATCAAGTTTAATTGGTCGAACTGGTCAATTCGGGGTCACCAACCAAGTCAACTATGATTAAAATAATGATAATTTATATTATATTGTTGGATATTTTTAATTAATTAGGAATTTTAATTTGTGTTTTTTGACTCTTCCATCTAGCTTTCAATATCATTTTGCATACACTGTCACACATTTCATTTTCTAATTGTATTATTATTTTTGCTATTACAGATAAATAATGAAAATCTAATAAATAAAAAAAATAGTATGGCAATATTCATATTTTAAAAAAGTAAAAGTTAGCTAATGTGTTCTTATATGGTACGTTGTAATCAGTATGTAACACTTCATACTTTATTTAGTTGATTGAAACGAGAAAAACTAAAAGAAACATTTAATTTTAATATATTAAAGTATAATTAATAAATATTTCTTAATTTTTATTGATGACAATAATTAATTTTTTAGGTATTTCTTCTAAAAGAAATTATTCTTTAGGTATAAGTATTCATATTAATTGTTATATAAAACATACACAATTTAGTAATAGTTTTTAGGTATAATTAATAACTTTTTATTTATTTATTTATTTTTTGAACTAAATTTATAAGTTCATAAAACAAGTATACTAGATACTACTTGTTTTACTTTTTCTAAGTGATTGAGAATTTTATTGAAATCAACACAATTCATCTATATCCTATTGTGTGATTATGTAACAACGTGTTTAGTAGCACGAATAAATAGAGTATATCTTAGCACATCACAGTGTGTGTGGGTGTGTGTGTGTGTGTATATATATATGTATGTATATATGTATATATGTATGTGTGTGTGTGTGTGTGTGTGTATATATATATAAAACGCAATACCTACATTTGCAGTAGTAAACGTTGGCACAACTCGTTATTAGGATATGTTCCGCAGGACTTACTTTTTTCTGCTTATTACTTATTCTTGTTAAATCAAATCTGATTAGATCTAATCTGATCAGGTCCAATCAGATCATATGAAATCCAATCAAATCAGATCAAGAAAAAATAATCAAAATAATACTGATATTTTTTAAGGATTAAATAATAATTACCATTCGATTAAATCACATTACTTTATTTAAAGCTACACACTCCTAAATAATAAATATTAATTAATATTATAACTTTAATTATTATTATTATTATTATTATTACTCGGTATTATTTTAGGACAGATGAAGTATTATTATTATTATTATTATTTATTATTATTATTTATTATTATTATACCAACTACAAACTATTATTACTAGTAATTTCTTAGTTTGTAAAAATGATGTATGAATTGAAAGCAATATTAGGATTTAGAAAGTTCTAGTTTTCATATTTTAAAAGAGCCTTTTTAAAATGCTTGCTTATAGAAAGACATTTGTTTATAAAAGAATTATACAAAGCTTAATTTTTAAAACCATAAATGCTTTTATACTTAAAAAGACTAACTTTTAAACTTAAAAATATTTAATAAACACAAGGGTGAATTTAAGACAAAATTAGTTATTGTTAATCATTATCTTATTTTACTTTATTCTATGTATATATGCATTGTAATACTTTTAAATAATTAAATTTCTTGTAATAATTATAATTTTAATTTAAATCAAATTTAAATTCAATTATGCTTGATCAGATCAGATCAGATCTAGTCAAATCACATCAGATTCAATAAGATCAGAATTAATCAGATCAGGCCTACGGAAGATAGCCTTAGTTGTTTAAGGAACACATTTACACATCCCATGTTTCATAGGCTAAACTTTTAGGAGTAATGAAACAACATAAGATAGTGCACACTCAAACACTCTCCTTGCAATGGTGGCTTTACAAAATGAGATCATTTATCATAGCCAAAGCCTCGCACAAATATCTAGAAGAAAAGCTCAGAAAAACCTTCCTGGGGGAATTCGATGAAAGGTTTACAATACTAAGGCCTCGTTTGGTACACAGAATTCCAACTATGGAATTGGAATTGAGGACTTCAATTCCAATTCTCGTGTTTGGTAGCACAAAAATTATGTGGATTTGGAATTGGTAGTGCAAAAAATGAATTGGAATTGATGAATTCAATTCTATGGAATTGAATCCCATGGAATTTTAATTCCAATTCCATTAATTCTGTGTACCAAACGGACCCTAAAATATGTTTGGGAACATGGATTTGGATTTCAAATCCGGATTTGGCTCAAATTTCATGTTTGGGAAACTTAAAAATTTTGAATTTGGATTTGAGTCAAATCCTTGTCATTTGAAATTCAAGATTTCAAATTTTGGAATTGAAATGCATGAATTGAAATGAAATGCTAATAACCAAACACTACCTGGGAATATCAATTGTTTCAGGGAGCATCAATTGTGTACTGAAGAAAAACCCGCCGAAGGGTCATATATATCATGAAGACAAAGAGGATGGAAATGATTGTTTGATGGACCAAAGCACACACAACTTTATGAATCTCGACATTGCTAAAGCAGTGGAATGCAAGATTGCTTTAAATCATGACTTTTGGTTCACAGAATGCATTATTAAAAAAAAGAGTAAATTCTCAAAATGATCCTTTGTAATAAGGTGTTTTTTCCAACAAAGCTTAATAAAGCTTAAATCACGACTTTTGGATTTGAGCCAAATTCTTCTCATTCATAACAAAGCTTAATTTCAAATTCATGCATCTCCTCTTGTCATTTGAAATTCAAGATTTCAAATGTTGGAATTGAAATGCATGAATTGAAATGAAACGCTAGTTGCCAAACACTACTCCCTCCATTCCGTATTAACTGTCCATTATGACTTTCTTGGTACATTGAGAAATGAATGAATATAGACATAGCGTATGTCTACATTCAGTAATTTTTTTAATGTAACAAGAAAGTCATAATGGACAGTTAATATGGAATGGAGGGAATACCTAATAAAAATTAGGAGTATAATCTAAGTGTTTCTAAAATGAGTGACCATCAACCCTAATAAAAGAACCTGAGCTTAAAAAAGAAAAGAAATCATGTGAATATATATATATGGTTAGATATTTATTGTGTTTCAATTTTGGAATTTGAAACACCTGTCACAGAAGCATTATTATGGGTTTTCCAATTTGGTATTATTACACACACATCTAAGTGCGTCTTTAATTTAATGAATTATATGATCATCAACCCTAATAAAACATAAAAGTTTAAGACCTTAGAACAATATTGAAAATTATACTCTATCCGTTCATGAAATTTTTCTCATTTTTTTATTCGTCAAAAAAAGTTTTCTCATTTTTATTAAAAAGTCACTTTTACCCTACTAATTCTTAACCTACGTATCACATCACATCTATTCACTATTAATCTATCTATCAAATTCTACTTTTTCCTATCACATCAAGGATAATTTAGAAGCTCAACACAAAGTTCAATTTTTTTTGAAAGCTTTTGAAGTTTAGATAACGAATCAAAATTTTCGTGGAAGATGTACCATTTCTGAAATTTACCCAATAAGAAACGATATCTAAGTGCATCTCTAATGAGTGACCATCAACTCTAATATTAAAATTAGAGTAAATTACATAAAAGATCCCCAGTTATAAGCCATTTTACATATTTAGTCCATACATTTCAAATATTACTAATTTAGTCCCCAATTATTATATTCATTTCCACGAATGGTCCTTTGTAAATATTTTCGTTAAGAACATGGATAAAATTGTAAATTCACACTCATTTCCCTCCTCAATTAAGATTCCTCCCTCTCCTGGCACTCCTTTCCCAAACCCGTCGCTGAGTTTGAAGCTTTGAACCCAAAACCGAAATCATCACTCTTTTCTGAATTGTTTGTCTAACTGGTGGAACCCAAATTCGAAACGAGTAACCTTCATGGACGAGTTTTAATGTTTATTTTCTTTGCAATTTCGTGAGACTAACCGATAAAACTCATCCATAAAGTTTATTGATTTTAATTTTAGGTTCCATCAGGAAGACTAATAATTGAGAGAAGAATGATCATTTATGTTTTGGGTTTAGAGCTTCAAATTCAGTGACGAGTTTGGGAAAGAGTACGAGAGGAGGGAGGAAGCTTAATTGAGGAGAGAGGGAAGTATGAATATACAATTATATCCATGTTCTTAACAAAAACGTTAACAAAGGACCATTCGTGAAAAATGATATAATAATTGGGGACTAAATTAGTAATATTTGATATGTAGGAACAAAATATGTAAAACGACTTATAACTGGGAATCTTTTATGGAATTTACGCTTAAAATTACGTAGACTTCAAAACAAAGTCCTGAAAATATAAATGGTTATATATTTATTGTGTTTCAATTTTCCAACTTGAAACACCCACCTATCAGGAAAACATTATGGGTTTTCCCCTTTGATGGTTTGCACACATTTTGCAGAAGAGTTTTGATTCATTAATGGAAGGAATTAGGTATTCTCATTAAGCAAAGTGGTTTTGCTTAATTATTCTACATGCAAGATTTGATTATATCTTGATATATAAATATATAGACGATCGCATACACATAACTTGCACAAAAACGTTCAATTCAAGATGTAAGATTGATAACCCAAACTGAACAAAAAAAAGAATAAAAATAACAACTTTATTAATTCGATCATGACAAGCATAATAGACAATATAATCTCAAAACATTTTGGAATAATAAAACAAATTTGAATAAAAATAACAATAAAGATAGAGTATATATGAAAACAAAAACTCTCATGATTTCAAATATATCTTGCCCTTCTCCAACATGGTTTAATTTATCCCATGCTATGGCCCCTAAAAACCAGAATGCCCGGCGGGGTATTGATTGAAATGGAGTTGGTTCAGTTTTTCAACCACTTGGTTTCGAAGCATTTCCAAGCTGTTCTTCACACGTTCTAACTCTAGTTCTTGGAGATCAGAAACAGAAGGCCGGTTTTTCTCGGCCTTGCACAACGCACGATTTTCGTTCGTTAAATCGCGAATCATCGACTCCATTTCGCTGATCTCGGGCGTCATGGAGCCCACGATGGCCTCGTGGCGAGCGCGGATAATGTCATCAGTGACGTTGGCTCTGGCATTCGAGTTTTTGCCAAAGTACCTGTTGAGAACGGCGTTCAAACTGGGGTTGCCGAAAGTGTAAGCTTTGTTTGCGGGCGAGAATATGACCATGGCGATATCGACGCCGGACCGGCGCTTCGAGAAAGTGACTTGTCGGTGAACATCGTTCTCAATCTTTGTGAGAGGGATCCTTTGTCGGCCCCTCCTCACCCTCTTGTTTGAATTGTTGTTGTCGGACATCCTGAATCGAAAACAAGTGTATTGTATTTGATTGAATAATGACAATTGGATCTCTTCCCTATTTATAGCCTTCATTTGACATTCCTTACCAATCTTCCTAATTCTATATGACATCTTATTGTGCGGCATATATATCAAATGCAATTTATAATACAAGGAGATGTTGATTACCACTTCATCTAGAATGTGGGATATGACATAGAGTGCACGACATTTTTATTTATAATAAATTAAAACAACATATATTAAATATATAATGGACAAATTAACTAACAATACATGATTTATATAATTCTTTTTTAAAGACAAATACATGATAATAGCTGGATGTCATAGAGGAAAAGCTGAAAGTAATGTGTAAAAGAAAGTGAAAGGATGTAGTGTAAATAAAAAGGTATTGGATAAGTCTATCTTTGTTGATGTGAATGAAGATCTTGTGCCATTAAGTGATTCACAAAGACAAATGCCTTCTTTGATTGGTAGCCTTGCAAGGGATCCTAGAATACTACCGTTTGATTGTTTTGATTGGAGAGAAATGAAAGAGGAAAAGAATGATCTAGAATGGATAGAAGTTAAGGTACACATATCTTTTATAAATGTGTATTTCCAAAAAATTAAAAATTAAAGTGACTCTTAAATCTTATTCACTGCTTACCTCTGATCTTCATGATTTATAAAATGTTTTAGCGGTCCTACAACTTTCTGAAAGGAAAGGAGCCATGTGAATGGGTGATAATGAAAGCACATGCTTCCTCGAGAGATTAGAAAATTTGAGCTGAAAGGGACATGTTTTAAGGGAAAAATCTTGCAACAACATTAGAGAAAAGGCCCGAATATGTACCTTTAAGTATGTGGCCGAACTTGGCAGAGTTTTAGAGTTCAGATAAAGCAAAGGTAGTATTTTAAAACACTTTTCCATTGTATATGCTAATTTATTTTGAGGCGCATAAGTCTAAGAATGTCGACTATAATTTCATGCACAAGAGAGGTGAAATACGGGCTAAGAATCGTAGTAAGCATCAAGTTGCTTATTATTTTGGGGCAAGAAGTCATGCCCGTATTCGAGCTAAAGAAGAGGTACTTGGAACATTATGAATGTCACCAATTTGAGCAACTTTTATTTAATGTCTTACCTTCATTAAATGATGTATCTTACATGGTGTTTAGACAAATGGAAATAAATTAGACAAGATTGAAATATGGCTCTTGACACATGAGCCAAAGAAAGTGTAAAAGCTTGATGATGTTTTTGCTATGAGAAAGGTAAATTAAAGTGGGAAAAGCTTTCACTTGGCATTGTTATTTGAATAATTAGTCCATTATTCATTGGTAACGTATTCATAATTTAATACTCAAGGGCTATTGGATGCTTAATGTATGCCATGGTTAGCAAGAAAATGAATATAGTATATGGCGTAGGAAAGCTTTGTAGGTTCCCAAGCAATCCTCGTACACACCATTAGCAAGCTATACAGAGAGTATTCAAATACTTGAAGAAAAACATAAATTATGGTTTGGTGTACACTGGAGATTGTTATGTTTCTAAAGGATACTTGGATGCAAGTTAGATTACTAATATAGAAGATTTCTTTTCAACTAGTGGATGGGTTTTTCTACTTGGTGGAGGAGAAATTCCTTGGGATTCAAAGAAGCAAACTTACATCACTACCTCGACAATGGAATCTGAACTTGTTGATTTAGCTTCAAATGGTAAAGAGGTCGAGTAACTAAGAAACTTAGTGTTGACATTTCATTATGGCCTAAACAAATTTCTCCAATTTTTATCCAGTGTGATAGTGTTGCTACACTTGCTATGGCATATAGTCAAGTGTATAATGGTAAGTCTAGACACTTAGGTGTTACAGTTATCATGGTACGCAATTTGATCAAGCATGGTGTAATATCGGCATAGTTCGTAAGAACTCAACACAATTTAGCCGACCGTCTAACTAAATGGTTAAGAAGGGATCTCATGCAAAATTTTGCTAAAGGGATGGGATTAAAGTTGTAACGCCCCAAAACATACCCTAGAATTATTAATGAATAAATAATCAAATAATCAAATTTGTTTTGATTAAAATAAATTATTATTGGGCTTTGGGCCGATATGAAATGTGTTTTGACATCCAATATCAAAATCTGGATAAGTCTCATAGAGATAAATCCAATATATGGACTATTTGTGTGGTCTTGATTGGGAACCTAAGTACAGATCCACATCAAGAGTAAATAAAGAATTTGTTTAGAATGTAAATATTGAAATGATTTGTTAAAATAAATCATGAGAATAATTGATATGAATTAAATGAGAAAAACCTTTTATGAGAAAGGTCAATTAAACCAATTTTTACTCTATCAAAGTCAACCACCCAAAAATATGATGTCGGAAAAAGTATTACAAATAAATACAAAAATTATATAGTTGGATAGAGTTTAACTGTCTGATCGCAATGGTCCAATCAAAATTTAATTCGGAGAAAGTTGGACCAAAAAGTGTACCCCGACTGGAACCAAAATTTGTCCCAATCAGGGACACTATGCAGACGGCGCCTCGCAGCGCACTAGCGGATCGTAGAATCACCTAAGGATTTAGCAACATGTCTTCTTGCTTCATTTCTCTATATAAGGAGACCAACTTCCCATTTCTGCATCAAATCCTTCCTTTTCTTCTTCCATTTTGTCCCTAAGAGTGTGGAGAGTAGAGTGGTGCTGTCTAGAGAGTTGGAGGTCGCCGGAGTTGGGAGTAATCATCGCCGGAAGTTTCGCCGGAAAAATTCTCAAAACCTTCGTATAGATCGTTTCTACGTTCATAAACGGTCATTTGGTTGAGTTTTATGTTTGACATGTTTGAAGAACTAAGAATCTTAAACCTTGAATTTGATGTTAAAACAACGAATTAATGACTCTAAAATGATTTCTGAACATTGGAGAACATTTTTATATAATTTAATCGAAGTTTGGTGATTAAAATTGATAATGTTAAAACTGACCAGAGGAAGAAGATGATGAACAGTGGCTGAAAATCGACTAATTACTTGCTAAAAATCGATTAGAATTTTATTCAGATCAGTGGTTCGAAGTTAGTACCATTTAATCTATTATTTATATTGTAAAAATCGATTATTATTAATTAATTAATTATTAATATTGTAAAAATCGATTATTATGAATTAATTGATTATTTAAATTATAAAAACCGATTATTATGAATTAATGGATTATTTAAATTGTAAAAATCGATTTTTAATGAATTAATTGATTATTTAAATTTTAAAAATCAAATTTTATGGATTAATTGATTATTTATATTGTAAAAATCGATTATTATTAATTAATTATTTAAATTGTAAAAATGGATTATTATGAATTAATCGATTATTAAAATTGTAAAAATCGATTATTATGAATGAATTGATTATTTTAAATTTTTTCCTCATTTCCAGACGAAAATGTTCCTGAAAATATGCTCTAAAATCCTATTTTTTATACCAATTAATTATGCACAATATAAATATGATTTTGTATAATAAAAATGATGTTTTTGGTAAATAAAACATTATGTGATGCATGACGGTAAGTTAGAGTGTTAACACTCAAAACTAGACCACTATCTGTTATCAATTGTTATGTTGATTAATGATTGTGATGAATGATTATTATGGATGATCATGAATGATGAACTAACTAATCAAAATGATTATTGATGATTGAGCCATGAGTATAATGAATATATTGATAATTATTAAACGATTTGTATTGTTAAGAATATCTAGAAGACTTTAAGATATATCTATTAGCTAATTGATGTTAAAACTATCTAGAAGACTTCTAGAATAGATCTTAGAATGAACTTATGAAAACATGAATAGTTGATGGATTAGATAAAAATGCATAAACGGGATTCGTAGTCCAATCTAGAGGATCACTCGTTTGGGAATGCCCGATCCAATGTTGATCATTTGCTATATTGTTGTTGCCTTAACTGACTACAGTTAAGTGTCCGAATCATTGCCTTAAACTAGTGATAGTTTAAGTGTCTGATTGCCTTAATTGACTACAATTAAGTGTCCGAAATCAATTGCCTTAAACTAATAATAGTTTAAGTGTCTGGTTAATGATTGCCTTTTAAGAATCTGGTTATAGAAATTATGATCTGGCCTTAGGCTAAGAATAGCTAAGAGCATTATTATGATCTGGCCTTAGACTAAGAATAGCTAAGAGCGTTGTTATGATCTGGCCTTAGATTAAGAATAATTTAAGAGCACTGTTGGAATAATATCTGATTTGAATAATTTGTGTTGATATGAACTAAACATTATCAAAACTATGAATGACTGAAATGAACATTGTGTGCATGATATCAAATGATTTGATTATGAATTTAGATTCAGTTTATATGGATGTTCGACGCATTAGATATGCTTACTCAGCTTTACCGCTGAGCGTGTAGTGTGTTTCATTTGCTACACGCAGGTAAACAGAAAGAACGGTGTGATCCTGGCGGCAGATGGGGCGAGTTTGTGGGGATGGATGTGACAAGTTTTGAAACAATTTATGATATGTCAATATTAAATTCGCTTCCGCAATATTGTTGAATACTCAATACAGTATATGTTATGAAAAATATTATTGAGATTAATAAAGTGTGTTTGAAAAGTTTAAATTTTTTACGATTACCAAGTTAAATACTTTAGTCCGAATGGGGCTACAGACCTGGACGGATTAGGGTGTTACAAAAGTATCTATGGTGTCTCACATGTTAAAATACCCAATTCCCACCTAATATGACGTTAGGTGCTAAATTCAATGTGGAAAGCTTAACATCTAGAGAATGGAGCACATTATTTTTATTCATCCCAAAGGTTCGTGTTCAGACCTGTAAGTTGTGTAGGTTGAAGTATATCTTCTTAATGGTTCTTTTGAAAAATTGTATATGCAAGTACATAACCAAAAAGAACCCCATATACGTACCATGAAGTTTAGTCGCTTTAAGAAGCATTAGACTTTGCTTTTATATGCTCGTTGAATGATAGGGACACAAGGCAGATAAAAGAAAGTGTCAATAAAAAACAATGA